AAAATTAGTCATTATTTTTAGTCTAGTAAAATGAAAGTCATTGTTTGTACTTATAGCCAATTTTTGGGTAATCTTGGCACTTTATTGCTCTAGGGAAAAGATAATTGGAATGACTCTTTTTCAGTAAGCATGGACTTGCCTATGTGATATCTTAGCTTTCTAATATATTGATAGATATGTATTAGAAAACATGAAATGCTTGAAAACTAATATGGAAAGATTTGGAAGCTTCCTTCGAAAAGATTTGTAGTTTTAGTTTTACATTACATAAATCTTGGCCATCAATAGGTAAGATTTTGAGGAGAGAAGACCAGAGATACCACTGTAGCCAGTCATAGGGCACAGCAAGCAGCTGTGAGCCACCATCTTATCATGTCAAGGTAGGAAGAAATTGCCATGCATCCTGTCACTGGCAGTTTTCACGAGAGGGAATTTCACAGTGCCCTCTGACTTTTATTTCATCCTGGGGGACTGACTGGGTTCTGAGCAACTGCCAGACTTGGAGCAGGGGAGTCCCCTTGCTTCCTTGCCCTCACTGATTCCTGCAGAGTCCCATACTTTGAAGTGTTACACAGCAGGCCTCTGTTCTGCTCCTACAAACATCAGAGTGAGTCAGTGACATGTGGGAACAAAGGGCAAATCCCCCTACATCCTGCAGCTGTGGGAGTTTTGGGACATTAGCCCCAGAACTACGCTCACATACTCTGTGTGAGCCAGGGGGATTCATCTTAGCTTCTAGGGGCTAATACCAGAAGCAACCCATAAAAAAAAAAATCCCCCTCCCTCAGAGATCTGGGTAATGATCCCACTATTCCCTGCAACACTAGGACTGTAACAATTAGTTCTAAATTTCTCAATGCCATGGAGATCTACCTGGTGGACATAGGGAAGAACCTACCTGCATTCCATCTTTGTGGACTTACACCCTCCAGAGAAAAATCTCCTATATACCTTACAGTCACCCTGTTGGAATGGAGCAAGGTTCAGTTCACATCCCCTAGTCCTAGGAATAGGGCTGTTGGTATTGTAAGCCACAGCACCAGTTGGACTCTCCTAGCAGGACCTGAGGAAATGTCTGTCCACATCACACAGTCCTAAAACCACAGCAGTTGGTTCCAAAGGCCCTAGTATCATGCACGTTTGCCAGTAGAAGGGGGACAGCCATCCTTGTCTCTCTCAGCACCAAGAACAAGGCCCTGACTATCACAATCACCAGGGAGACTGACACCAAACTCTCTGTAGACCGAAGATACACAGCCTAAGAAACTAACATGGATTGAAATAACCAATAGCATTAAAATATCTAAACTACCTAAAGCAATCTAAGATTCAATGCAATCCCTGGCAAAATACCAATGACATTCCTGACTGAATTAGAAAAAAAAATCCTAAAATTCTTACGGAATCACAAAAGACCCCAAATAGCCACAGTGATCTTGATCAAGAAAAATTAAGCTGGAAGCATCATACCACTTATTACAGCTTTGTAGTATGCTTTGAAGTTAATTAAAATAGCATGATAGTAGCATAAAAACCAATACATAGATCAATGGAACAGAGAGCCCAGAAATGAATCCATGTATATACTGCCAACGAATTGTTGACAGAAGTGTTCAGACCATACAGTGGAGTAAGGATACTCTCTTCAATAAATGGTGCAGGCAAAACTTGATGTATACATGTAGAAGAATGAAATTAGATCCATACCCCTCACCATGTACAAAAATCAACTCAAGATGTATCAAAGACCTAAATTTAAGTCCTTAGACTATGACGATGCTGGAAGAAAAGAGAGGAGACACTTTAAGAGATTGGTGTAGGGGATGATTTCCTTGACAACACCCCCAAAGCACAGGCTACAAAAGCAAAACTCAACAAATGAGACTATATCAAACTCAGAAGCTTTTGCACAGCAAAGGAAATGGTCAGTAGAATGAAGAGACATCCAGCTAAATATGAAGAAATATTTGCAAGCTATATATCCAACAATGGATTAATATCCCAAATATATCAGCAACTTCAGAAACTCAACAACAAAAAACCAACCATTCCTATTAAGAAATGGCAAAGGACCTCAGTAGACAATTCTCAAAAGAAGAAATGTAAATGACCCAAAAATATATGAAAAAATCACTAGCCATCAGGGAAATGCAAATCAGAACCACAATGACATATAAGCTGACACCTGTCAGAATGGCTGACATTCAAAACACAGTTAACAGCCAGTGCCGCAGCTCAATAGGCTAATCCTCTGCCTGTGGTGCCGGTACACCGGGTTCTAGTCCCGGTTGGGGCGCCGGATTCTGTCCCAGTTGCCCCTCTTCTAGGCCAGCTCTCTGCTGTGGCCTGGGAGTGCAGTGGAGGATGGCCCAAGTCCTTGGGCCCTGCACCCACATGGGAGACCAGGAGAAGCACCTGGCTCCTGCCTTTGGATCAGCGTGGTGCACCGGCCGCAGCGTGCTGGCCTCAGCGGCCATTGGAGGGTGAACCAACGGCAAAAAGAAGACCTTTCTCACTGTCCATTCTGCCTGTCAAAAAAAAAAAAATAACAAATGCTGCTGAGGATATAAACAAAGGGGAACACCTAATACACTGTTGGTGGAAAGGTAAATTAGTGCAGCCACTGTGGAAAACAATGTGAAGATTTCTTCAAATCTCGAAATAGAATCACCATATGATCCAGCAATCCCACTCTGGATATTTGCCTAAAGTACATGAACACATGGTATCAAAAAGATACCTATATCATTATGTTTATAACAGCACTGTTCACAGTAGCCAAAATTTAGAATTAACGGAGGTATCCATCATCAGATTAATGGATAAAAAAAGTTGATATTTATACACAAAGGAATATTATTCAGCTATAAAAAAATGAAATTCTACCATTTTCAGCAAGATGGATGCAATGAGAAGACATCATGTTGAGTGAAATAAGCTAGACCCAGAAATATAAATATCGCATGTTCTCCATTATAAGTAGGAGCTAAAATTTTTAAAAAAGAAATACATACCTGTGTATATCAGTATTGCTGTAAATATATTTTTATAAATCTTTGTTATATGCTTTTGTCAAACCAGTGGTTAAGAATGTTATACAACTATAGTTTTAATAATCTGTGACTACTTTAAAACTTACTGTATATGGGTCAAGTGGTCATTTTTCCATTCAATTATTATTTTATAGCTGTTGACCGTATTCCCACTAAACTAGGGTCATTTTGCTTCTTACCAGATAAAACTTCCTACTTGGTGAAGTATTAAAACTTTTTAATGTAAATTTAAAACATGTTATCTCAGAGACTAAAAAAGAAACATTCTAGAAAGGGGGAAGACAGAAGGGTAGGAGGGAGAAAAGCAGAGTGAAGGAGGAAGGAAATACCATTATGTTCTTAGAATTGTATTGACAAATCCTATTGAATGTTAAAAACTAATTAAAAAATTGTTAATTAAATTTAAAAATATATAGTATAAGAGAAAAATCAGATTTTGTCTGTAATCAAGTCTGTTTCACACACACACAAAAAATATATAGTTTCATGGCAGTGAAAAACACTAAAACAAAATTATAGAAAGAAGCCATTGTGCCTTAAGGCACTTTTCTATTATACTCTAATTCAGTGTATCCTCGTAGCAGCCTTGACTCTAGATTACTCTTCATACATATATAGTTCCTTCATTTTATAAATGCTTTTGAAGAGTTTTAGCATTAAATACTCCATGAATTAGAGGAATATTAGGGATACTTCCGTATAAGATCTCTTTGATTTCATTTTAGCTTTTAGTGTTTATATAAGTGGCTGTGAATGTAAGGATATACCCAAGATTTCCTTTATCCTTCTTAGTGTCTTCTATTTAAGTTCTCAGATTCATCAGCAGCATTAAATATGTCAATTAGGTCAAGAGATATGGTGGTTTCCATATCAGAAGTCTAAGGAGGATTAGGTAGAAATTGTCCAAAAGCAATTTCACTGCTGGCTTAAAGAACATTGGTCTGTGTCCTCAGAGATGGATAAATGTGTCAGGCCTACTTTTTTTTTCAGTTTAGGTTCTGTTTTTAGGCTACAGATTTTCAATTTTGCCAGAATATAAGGGAAAATGATTGAAAGAAATCTTTTTTTAAAAAGACTTATTTATTTACTTGAAAGTCAGAGTTACACACAGAGAGATGGAGAGGCAGAGAAAGAGGGAGGGAGGGAGGGAGGGAGGGGGTCTTCCACCCGCTGGTTCACTACCCAGTTGGCCAACGCCGGGTTGAGCAGTCTGAAGCCAAGAGCCAGAAGTTTCTTCCTGGTCTCCCTTGTGGGTTCAGGGACCCAACGGCTTGGGCCAACTTCTACTGCTTTCCCAGGCCATAGCAGAGCTGGATTAGAAGTGGAGCAGCCAGGTCTCGAACTGGTGCCCATATGGGAAGCTGGCACTGCATATGGCAGCTTTACCCACTATGCCACAGCACCAGTCCCTGAAAGAAATCTTAAGAAAATAACTTATGCTGAACTCTTCTAATTCTAGACAGTGCTTGTCTCCTAAGATGAACATTTTTTGAACATTCAATAAATCATGTATTTTTATGTTTGCCCCCTCAATTTTTTTGAAAATAAGTGTTATAAGTAATAAATGACTTACTTTTTTGTAACAGGAATACTTTTCAAATTTTTCATTAACACTAATTATACATATTTCTGGCCTCCATGACATTTCAGTACATGTGAGCAATGTGATTTTTGATCCAAATGCAGTATTCACATATAAAAACAAAATGGCTAGTTTATGGCTCTTCACTGATACAAATTTAAGGATGAGGACTTCATGTTTCACAAAATTTTCAAAGTCTTCTTGAGCAGAGGTGGCCAACTGTGTTACAATTACCTTGACTGAGCCCTGAAGTTAAAAATAATGAATAAGATATCTGTTGCCCACAGTTAATGAAAACTGTGCAGACACTATCTTAAAATTTAAGAAACAAAATAACAAGAGGTCCTGTTTTTGTCTTTTTCTAGATATAATAATAACTTTAAGATTAAAAACAAAATTAAATTAACTGATATGTGGACAGCGAACTGTGTGGATGAAGTTGGAGAAGGCAACACCAATGCCATGAGATCCTTTGTCTTGGGCTGGCCCACAGTGAACTTTGTGGCCACTTTCAGGTAAGAAGCACAACTTGGCCTATGTTTACCTGGGTTAACTGCTGTGCCAATGTCTAGGATATTTTATTCTGATTGCAGATTACATCAGTTTTTTAAAGATTTTATTTATTTATTTGAGAGGTAGAGTTAAAGACAGTGAGAGGGGGAGAGACAGAGAGAAAAGGTCTTCCTTCTGCCGGTTCACTCCCCAAATGGCCGCAACGGCCAGAGCCACACTGATCGAAAGCCAGGAGCCAGGAGCTTCTCATGTGGGTGCAGGGGCCCAAGCACTTGGGGTATCCTCCACTGCTTTCCCAGGCCACGGCAGAGCTGGATTGGAAGAGGAGCAGCTGGGACAAGAACCGGCACCCATATGGGATGTTGGCATTGCAGGAGGAGGGTTAACCTACTGCGCCACGGTGCCGGCCCCAATATTTTATCTTTTGATACACACATACCTCACAAAGATACTTGTGTGACTTATGTTTCCTCTCAAAGAGCTTTTGCTTAAAATATATGAAAATTTAATGGTAAATATTTGGAACTCTTAGAGTCATTTACCCGCATTTGACAAATGATTGTTAAAGGGGCTTTAATGAAACTACTAGGGGAACAGGAACTTGAGGGTATATGGAAAGGGAGAGGCAGAGGGGTCCAATCCCCAAGACCTCATCTCGAATATAACCCTCCTCTCTAATGTGTAGGTGTGTGTTTTACATACTGAGTTCTCAAGTATTGTCAGTCTCTTCAGAACTCTGAAGTAAACTCTCAGGAAAGCACATTTTATAAAATAGCTTAATTAAGTTTGAGTAGCTGGTCTATACTCCCAAATTTTCTAAAGAATTAGTTTCCATTGTACAAATAAAATTAATGTCACAAAATAGTGGGTTGCCTGAATTGTACATCGGTGTCTTTGGTATCTGTAGAGCTGTTCACAGTAAAAGAAAATTTATGACCTGAAGAAGTGAAGCTTCCCAAGACTTTCAAAGGCTGGGATGGAGTTAGAGAAGGTATGAATACAGAATAGTTGCCATCTTGTCCTGAACCTGCTTAATTGCATTTTTTGGATTCAGGGTGAGCATAGCAAAACTGCTATTTTAGACAACTGTGTCCCTACTGTAGTGTTTGTTGTACAATTGAAGAGTTGGTTGCACATGGTCCTTTTCATTCCTGCATCTCTTCCCATTCTGATCAAACTCCTCAGACATCGTTCTAGAGCCGATGACTAAAATTTTTAGAACTGTTAATCTTCTAATAAGGGACAAGTATGTCATTAAATTGCATTTGGATTTTTGGCCTACCACAAGGTTTTAAGAGCTTATATGGAAGGAATGTGTATTTGTATCATCCTCTGCATATCTTCTTTCTGTGACAGATTTCTGTACATAATATAACTTTCTATTAATTTAATTTCCTTGGAATTACAGGAGAAAGGGAGTAATTTCAAGTGTGAGGGAGGTGACTACATGACATTTTTAATCAAAGAATTTCCAGGACCCTTTTTTAAGAAGAGTTGGCAATGTGACAACATATTTTACTTGAATTATTTTGCTCAAACTATGATTCTTTAACCAAATGATCAAGGTTAACATCACCAGTGGTCTTGTGGATATTATGAAGTCTTTGATACAATATGATAAAAAGGGCAGTTTACTTCTGTGATATTTCTCCCCCAAACCTGTAACCCCAGTTTAATTATGAGGAAAACATCCATTGAACCCAAATTGAGAAATGTGTAAGATGCTTAACCAGTCCCCAAAACTGACAACGTCAAAAGACAAAAAAAAAAAAAAAACAGGAAAGACAGAAGCTGTCACAGATCAGTCACTAAGAAGATCCTGGATTGGCTTCTAGAACAGAATAGAATTAATGGAGGAAAAAATTGGTAAAATCTCAGTGAAGTCTGGAGTTTAGTTAATGGTCCTGTGCCAATACCAATTCCTTAGTTTTGAGAAACAGGCCATGATAATATAAGATAGTAACACTAGGGGAAACTGAAAGTTCAGGAGAAATATGCAAGGACTCTGTGTATTTCACCTTTGTAAAGTTTTTGGAAATCTAAAATTATTTCAAAGTTAAGTTGTATTTTTTAAAAAATGAAGTGTTGGATATTTCTGCCTTTGGTATGGCAGAGTAAACTCTTAAGAATGGCCACTCTACAGTTAAAAATATGCTAACAACAGTTTATTCTCTGAGGGTTCTGAGGAGTGAACAAAAGTTGGTACATTTTGGAGAGGCACTGAGAGGTACCAGCACAAAATGACGTCTCTAGTTTCAAGGCTGTAGCCTCAAAGCAGTCTGCAGTCACATCATGACATGCAGGTCACTAAAACTGACAAAACCAACAATTTTCTGGGGTGAAAAATAAGAATACAGACTCTGGGGTCAGTCACAATTATTAGAAAGTGATGGGGGGAGGTCTCAAAAGGAAGCACTTCAGAGAAGAGAAGCTCCAAATTCCGTGTACAGACACTGTCCAAATCTGTGACTGATCACTGAGCTCCACATGCATGGGATATAGTTGAAGCAGCTTGAAGGTGAGACTGAAAGAGTTGAACTGAGTGTTTCCTGCCTACCACAGGTGAGATAGTTTGTCACTTGGTCTATCAAGTTAGTTTCCTGCTGAAACAAAAACTAAAGCAACACAGAATGCAGTCACCAAAACAAAGCATTCATAATGTTGAGAATACAGCCTAAAATTTCTTGACTTATAAAGAAGAAAGAGAAAAGATAATCAGAAAAAGGTCAACCCTGAGATGACCCATGTGTTGAATTACAAAAAAAAAAAAAAGGCAGTTTTTCTAAGTATACATACTTGGTAAAAGGGAAAGTCAGTTAAAATTAATGAGCAGATAGGAAATTTCAGCAGAGAAATAGAAAATACGCAGGAGAGCCAACTGAAAATTCTACAACCGAAAACTGCAGTGTAGTAAGTTAAAATGTCTTGTGCAGAATGAAAGTGAGAGAATTCAGTGAACTTAAAGATGCATCAATACAAATTGTGCAGTCTGAAAAACAAAGATTTTTTTTAAAAAAATTTCTTTATTTGAAACACAGATTTACAGAGAGTAATAGAAAGACAGATCTTCCATCCACTGGTTCACTCCCCAGATGGCCACAATAGCAGGGCTAGACAAGGCTGAAGGCAGGAGCCTGGAACGGCATTCAGGTCTCCCATTGGGTGACAGGGACCCAAGTACTTGATTCATCTTCCACTGCTTTCCTGGGTGTGTTATCTTGGAGCTAGATCAGAAGTGAAGCAACCGAGACTCAAACTGGTGCTCATGTGGGATGCCGGTGTCATAGGCGCTGCTCCACAACACAAGCCCCAAAGATTTTTTAAAGAGACTTGTGGAAAACTATCAAAATGCATAATAAAAACATAATTGGAATCCTAGGAATAGGAGAAAGAAGGAATGGGTTAGAAGAAACATTTGAAGAAATAATTATTTAAAACCTTTAAAGTTTTTTTCCAAAGATATAAATTTATAGATTCAATAATTTCATGAACCCCAAACAGGATGAATATGAAGAAAACAGTCATGTTGTAAAACAATGCATTATATGTAGGAGAACAACCATTTGCATTATTGTGGACTTTTCATTAGAAACTGGCAAAAGAAAAAAGAAACTTTGGCAGTCAGAAGTGAGTGGAACATCTATAAACTGTTAGGAAAAAAAAATGTTCAACCTAGAATACAATATCAGCTAAATTATCCTTCAAAACTGAAGGTGAATAAATTATAAGAATTTATTTCCAGCATACCTATTCTACAAAAGACATGTTAAAAATAAAGTGAAATATTGGCTAAAGTGAAATATTGTCAGAGGGAAGTTTGAATCTTTAGGAAGGGATAAGACCACTGGAAATGCTGTGTTATCTCTTGATTAAATACTAGGGAGATAGAGGTCATGATTCATTTACAGTTCCATAAAGCTAGCAGCTCAAGAAACATTCTCTTCTACCCAGTTACTATAATATCTATTTTAAAAAAAGTAAAAACTAATAATAGCTTTGTAATCCAAGACTGAAAACAACTGCCAGAATCTGGGAGGAATTCCCAGTGGAGTCAGATGGGGAAAGTGAGCCATCCGCATGACCTTTCCATGCTTTACTTTGGGAAACAGAGCAGTAACAGCAGATACAAAAAGGTTCAGAGGAATTTCATATCTCTACCACTGCCTGTACTTTGATTCACATACCTGCGATCTGTGTCTACTGGAAAAATAGGTGCTACACCTTGATTTTACAGATAAACTAAATGACACACTGGGAACACTGTTCAGAAGACACAGGAAATACTTAAATCTGACAATGATCTGTCTACAAGAGGAATCAGAAGAATATTTTAACTTAAGTACCTAGTATGATTCTTAGACTTCAAACTGAGGTATGCTTATTTATTTATAGATAAAATTAAAGCTCACCTTAAAAGTCCTCATTGTGCCAGCTGCTAGGAAATCAAATTTGCTACTTTGTTGGTACCCTTGTTTTCTTTACGGTGGGACCAAATACAGGAGACTTTCCTTCCTAAAACAGATATAAGGTTTTTGTCCTTCAGTCTCTGGTTGTCATGGCTGACACCTTTGTCTGCCTTGAGCTCCCCTTTCCTATCAGAGATGTTGGAGACAAGCCTGTTAGCAGATATAAAAATCTTGGTGCCTAGGACTCGGCCTTCCAAGTTGCCATGTAACACCATTTCTTGCAGGTTCTTTTTCCTTAGGGCACCTTAACTGAGTGAAGTATGGCTCCCAGCTTCCTCTGAGGGATGATCCATAATGTGAAAGAATCCATCTTGTCTTGTTCTGTCTCTAGGATGCATTGCTTCCTCCTCTCCAGGATTCTATTATTATCTCTTTCAGTGGGCTTTGGTGCTATTGAAACTCTGAGATTGGTGTTGATTATGGAGTCCTTTAAATGACTGATACTGAGAATTACTAAGGAAACTGGAGCCCTGGATTCTGTATCACGTGGGAGAAAGGGGAAAATGCAAGATTATACAATCTCTATGAATTAAAAAGACATACTTCTTAAAAACATAATTTATGTTTTAAAGTATATGTTATATATGCAAACAGTGAAACACAGCAGTGAGAATGATCTAAAACACTGCACACAATAATATGAATAAATCTCACAGGCACAATGTTGAATGACAGAAACCAGACACACAGTAATAGTATACTGTAGTTTATATTTATATGAAGTACCCAAACCAGCAGATGTACTCTCTGCTGTGATTCAGGAGAGTGGAAACCTAGGATCTACAGAGAAGCATAAAGAGATCTGCCAAGGTGGATGCTGATTACATGGATGTGTTTAATGTATAAAAATCCTTCAAGCTGTACACTTAAGCTTTGTACAATTTTCTCTATATATTATGTCAAAAGTCAAAATAATGCTAAATATTATAAGGAGATAAGGAGAATTTTTTTAACTTTATAATGAATCTGAAGAAAAATTCTCATCTAATTTCAATAGACTTTTGCCAAATCAAGATTTGATGTAAATGAACCTAACACAGTCTGTTTTAAGAAACAAATAAAAAGGGATTTTGAAAGATGGAAATTGTGTGGTCAGTGCTTAAAAAAATGATGTAATGTACATTCTGATGACCAACCATGGAAGATTCTTATGAAGAAAATGGCTAAGCAACAAAGAAACAAATTACAAGTATTTATTAAGTATTTTTCTGGAACAACAACAAAAGTAGGGTTTTTGTGTTTTTTAGAGAAATAAAAAACTACATAAAGAGATTAGAGTATTCTCTCAAGAGATTAGAAATATGGTTTTTAAAGCTTTTCACTGACAAGACCATATGGGAATATATTTTAAATTACTCTTAAGAATTAAATACAGGGGCTGGTGTTGTGGCACAGTGGGTCAAGCCACCAACTGCAATGAGACCAACGCTGCATATCAGTGCTCCACTTCCCATCCAGCTCCTTGTGAACACACCTGGGAAAGCAATGGAAGATGTCCAAGTGCTTGGCCCCTGCTACCCATGTGGGAGACCCAGTTGGAGTTCCTGGCTCCTAACTTCATCGTGGCTCAGCCCTGACTGTTGTGGCCATTTGGGAATGAGCCAGCAAATAGAAGAGATTCATTCTCTCTCTGTCTGTCTCTCTGTTTCTCTCTCTCTCTGCCTTCCAAATAAATAGAAATAAAGCTTTAAAAAGAGTTCATGAAAAATTAACATTATAAAAAAGTAAGCAATGACAGCAGGAAAACTAATAATTTAATTGTCAATGGATTAATCTTAACCAGGTTATAGTGATAGTAAATTTTCTATGAACTGTCACTAGTTGACAATTCTGTCCTAATGTATTAAAATTTTATTTTCTGACAAAAACTGGTTTCCAGGCTCAAGATATTTCCATATATTACCAAATTCTTCTTTAATCTCAACCCTGAGCATAATTTCTGTATGTATGTCATTTCACACTGCAAAAATACTCTGAGATAATCAACCCCATTTTAAAGATAACGAAACCTAGGCTTAGCAAGGTTAGGTGATTTGCCATGATCCTCTGGTTTGCATATAATTTTGAAACTAGGTGTGTAGATTCCAAATTAAGTTCCTTCTCCACTGTAACAGGTACCTCCCACTGGTAGTACCACTTAGAAAAGAGCAGTAAAATAGGAAAGCACGTTTGTCTGGATACCATCCATGGATTTAATAAAACTACATTTGACTTATGTAGTTTTTCCTAAGGGGCATTGTCACCACAGTGTTCTCCAGAACACAATTTTGCCAAGGTTGCAGCTTGTCTGTGCACCTACATCAGTAACAACAGGCTGTTCATATCTCTCGCATTTTCTTTGATTGCAGTTCTCCAGAACAAAAGGACAAATGGCTCTCTCTTCTGCAGAGGTACTTTTTCAATATCTATATTTTTAATCTTTTACGTATGCTATGCAAATTCCAACCTATTCTGCAGCGAAGTGTTCCAAATTCTCCCCCTTTTCCTTAGTAGAAATTGTTCATTTGCCCTCAGAATAAGCTGTTGGTTAGATTGTACACTACCTACTACTTTGAATAATGTTCTCTCGTTACATGTGTATTAACTTTCTAGGAAGGAAAACACTGAGGTCTAGTTAAATCATTTGAGACAAAAATTAGTAATTTCTCCCATCTCTTTCTGGGTTCCAACCTACCAGTTAGAACAAATAGTTTCCTCAAAGTATGTATAAAGTTTCCATAAAGGGGAGGTTTTTTGCTGAGTGCACACAGGTCAAGGATTATCCCTGCCATTTCACAGACTGAAATGGTCAGCTTGGGCTCCTGTTTCAGACCCACAGTGCTTCCCTCCTTTCACCTTTCACCCTCCCCAAGCTCTGGGATAACCAAGGTTTACACTTGACTAGAAAGCTAAATAAAGTAGAAGTAAAAACCATTGTTTTGGTTTGGCCTAGTAAAGTATTATGTAAGCCCCTACACTCTACAGTAAGTTCCCAGACCTCCAGAGAAGGGAGGGGGAGCATCCACAGGTGTGGTGGCCCAGTTATGTTTCTCCATCCGCACTCCTCATGGTTGCTGCGTTCTTTTTGTGCCTCTGCCTAATGTCCTGAAAGAAAATTTTATTCCCTTTCAACCCATAATGTAAAATGACTTTGCTAAGTCTTCCCATGTGTCTTTTTAAAAATAGCATATAAGTATATTGAAACTATTAGCACAATAGATTGACTTGAAAAATAAGCCACTAGTGAATGCCATCTGACGCAGTGTTGTTTCGGGTTGTTGTTGCATTTGATTAGATACATCAATCTAGAGAAAGAAAAGGACTACCCGAAGAGCATTCCCCTCAAAATCTTCGCCAAGGACATTGGGAATTGTGCCTATGTAAGTGTTGTGTTTCTAAGCCAGAAAATTTAATTCCAAGCACCTAAGGCAGAACATTATGGGTAACAAGAGAGACAGATAGGCAGGCAGACAAGACAGACTGAATATGCTGTGGCAGGTGGGCATTTAGAAATACTGTGGTGGGGGATGCATTTTTAGGGTATTTGCATGTCTATGTATATGTGAAAAGTAAACCCTAGAGAAATTAACTTTCACTGCAGTATTTAATATGCACACTTGGAGAGAATATTGCTTGTCAGAGGACTCCTTCTCCCTCTGGCAACTGTTTCTCTGGATCTTTTCATTAGCATCTGCAGAGGCTTATATAGTAAAGCTATTTCTACAAGGAGGTATTTCCTTTTGGTATCAAGCAATTTTTTCCCATCTTTCACTTCTTAAATAGAGAGTGGTTTTGAAAACGTCTTCATCTTTGTTAAGGATTGATTTCCTTGGATTAAGAAAGGGATGATGATCTTAGAGAAATGACAGTTGTAAGGGATTAGCATGATTCTGCCTCACAATGTTCATTATATTGGTCAAATAATTATTAAGTCTTTAACACTCCATTAGTATGTGTAATTGTGATGACTGAAATTTCAGTACAAGAGCCAAGATGTTACTGGTGATGAACAAGATGGAAATTTATGATGATTTTTGTGAGACTACAGATGCCATGCTTCACAGCAGCTCTGGATCACAGAATAGTGTTGTGTTGTGGAAAAATATATAGTGCGAAACAGTTAGTTTTGGCCAAAAACAAAAGTTATGCAAATATTCTGAACAACTCCTGAATGCCTGATGTCACTGCTTGGGGGCAAAAAATACTCAAATTTTTATGATATGAGCCTACCAGAGATCTCTTTTAGCAAAGTAAAACACAAAACAAAGCAAAACAAAAAAACACTGTTGTTTCTGCCTGCTTTGGTTCAGTTGTTGTGGCAGTTGATTAGGTTCAAGATTTTCTTGGAAAATCCATTGAACTGATTTTTAACACTTTTTGGCAAGTGTGTGCTTGAGAAAGGACTTATGCCCAACTCTCACTTCAGAAAAAGCAGTAAGAAATGCAGTCAGAGAGATATCCTGTATTTATCACTAGTGTCCTGGAGAAGTCAGGGGTGCTGTGACACACTCTGTCCTTTGCTCTCTGAAGTAGCTTTCCCGGCAGGGATCCCTGCGCCTGGGAAGAGTGATCCCTCCAAATAGGAGTGCCTTATGGAGAAGATTCTTCATCCTTGGCCTTTAGTTATGCACAGCCTATCAGTTCATCTTGCTACCATGGAACAGAATAGCCACATTTTCAGCTTTGACTGAGCCAAGGAGCTCTGTGTGCTGAAATTCATTTGTTTTTTCTACCAGAAAACCTTGCAGAGGACAATATAATCCTATAGTTGTAGTTTCATACAGATGTGCCCAAAGTTAAGAAAAAAAATTATCTTAGAAGCTAGGTAATTGACAATATAGATTCCTTACTTTATAAAAACTTGGTGAGATAATATCTTTAAATTGAATAGAAGGGTTTGCAGACCCTAAAGAAACTGTAGAAGCAGGAGCTGTTTTGAAATTTCATCTCAAGTTAAGTATGTAGCATGCTTTTAAAAACTCTGATAGAAATCAAATTCAGTTGGGTACACTCAGCCCTCCCTGTTACAGTCTAACAAACTTTTGCATAATCTTTCTAGCTTCAAGAAATGTAACTCAAAATAAATACATGTTAAATGCTTTACAAAAATTAAAAATCCAATTAACAACTTTTTGAGGCAGTTTGTCCTGTGAAGTATTTTGTTCATAGGGAAGAAATACTATAATAGAAGGATTAGTGTTGAATTATCAATGGACTCACTTAGCTTTATTTTTATATCAATTATAGACATTTATGCTCATTGCTGACTTATCTGATAATTATGTGTAAATCTGTGTGCATAGAAAAATTTTAGATAGCATGGTATTGTCTTATTTAAATAATGTCTTTTGGAATTCTGTGAGCTCTGTAGATATCTGAGAATCTTAATTCTTTTTCTACTTGTTGCAAATTGTGTTTATTTTTAGTAGCAATTCTCAATATGGTTTAACACAGAGGTATTATAAATACCCTATTTAATGGCAGAGTTGGTAATAGAATTGAGCTTTCTAAAATTTTCAGTTGTTTTACCACACTCATTGGTTTAAAATCCTCTAGAAATTTCAGTAGTGAAAATCTTAGTAGCCATAGTCCCTGACACATAGAAAATACTAAATAAGTAGTGGTTTTTTGTTCAGTGTTTTAAACGCCTTTTGTTACAAATTCTTACTCTGATTTTACGTAAACTGATTTTATACCATGCAAAGAAATAAAACCACATTCTAAGAAAACAGTACTCAGGAAGAAATTTATAAGGATCCAGCTGTCTCCCTTTTTAACTATTATCTGCCTTATGGTAATAAGGCAGAACACTAGTCTGAATGATTTTTCGGGCAGAGGGGCAGATTAAGAGGAAGATGGGAAGCAAGGTCCATGTATAATCTCTGAAACATACTGAGTCTTTTTCTACCACGCTGAAGCTGTTATAGGAGGGTAATTCAAAAAGTTCATGGCAAATTGAATGAAACATTGTGTATTTTTGTGTCAAAAAGAAAAATGTTTAAATTCCTGCAGAGAAGGTTCTTCCAAAAATTCACAGAGTGGTATGTCATTGGTGCAGTAGTTCAGTCACCTCGTGGGACACCTGTATCACACTTCAGAGTGCCTGGGTTCAGGTCCCAGCTCTACTCTGGATTCCAGTGTCCTGTTAATGAAAACCTTGGGATGTAGAAGGTGATGGTTTAAGTAGCTGGGTCCTTGCCAATTCCATGGGAAACCTGGATTGAGTTCCCAGCGTAAGGCCAGCCCAGTCTAGCCTTAGCTTTTGTGGATGTTTGGTAAGTGAACCAGAGAATGAGAGGTCTTTCTTTATCTGTGTTGATCTCTAAATAATTTTTTAAAAGTCATGGAAAATTCATATCATGAAAAAACTATGCATGTATTTCAAATGTTTTTGCACCAAAATAAACTTTTTGTTCTATTTTCTATGAACTTTTCGAACCACACTTTTATTTTGTAAGCCGTACATCATTCATTTTAAGAGAAATAAATGCTTATTAAAGTGTGTAACATCACAAGAGTATGAAAGCCAGTTATGATCAAGGGCTTGTGTTCTGCTGAAGTCTTGTGCTTTACTCTGTCCACACTTGAAATCAAGATTTGCCTTTGGATAATCATTTAGCCATGATTGTTTTGTTTACTTGTTTTAAAAAATTGTTTATTCATATCTATATTTCTTTTTTTTCTTCAGTCTAAAACTATAACAGTAATGAATTCAGATACAGTGAATGACGTTATCAACATGTCATTACCAATGCTAGGGATAACTGTAAGTTATTCTGCTAGATATTCTTAATTAAATTTTAATTTTATACTTTATACTCTTGTGAATTTTATCCATGATAATACATCTTTTATTACAGATAGAAAATCATATTTTGTCTCCAAAAATGTAGAAAATATAGTAAAGCTTTACTACTAGTTAATATAATTCTTCTATTTTAGCTATTTAACTATTAGTTAATCTAATTCTTCTATTTTAAAACCTGTAAACCTGAAAAAACATAATTTTAGATTGATAATATGTATTTTTATTGTGTTATATACTTCTACAAAAAAAATTGGGGTAAATGATTCATGATAAAGTCTAGCCTTCTCCCTGCCACCACCTCCCCCGCCACTATTCTTCCCATGTCTCCTCCCTTTGTTCTCCTCCCCTCTGTTATTACCCTGGATTCAACCAGTGTTAGGATGATGACTTCTGAAGGATTCACTCTGTAGCAGAATTTTTACATAAGGAACATATGGCTAGAGACAGGGGTTTAGCCTGGCGGTTGAGATGCCTTTCAAGAAGTCCACATCCGAAATCAGAGTGCCTGGATTCAATGCCCAGTCCTGGATCCTGATTCCAGTTTTCTGCAAATGCAGACCCTAAAGTCAAGAGTGATGGCTGAAATAGTTGCTTCTCTGCCACTCATGTGCGAGACTTGGAGGAGTTCTCAGCTCCCAGCTTTAGCTTGGCCCAGGTCCAGCTATTACAAGCATTTGGAGAGTGAATGAGTAGATGAGAGCTCTCTCTGTGTGTGCGTCTCTCCCTCTGCCTCTCAGATTTTAATAACACATGACAAGAAGCCATATTGTCTGATTGCAGGTCCTGAGAATCAGATGGCTGGTACCTCTAACAAACTGCCAAAAAAAATGCAAACTTTGAATTAAATCATGAATTTGAAGAGCTTTGTAGTACACACCACACTCTTCTATTTTCTGGGGCAAAGATTATTTTTTTGAAATTTTATTAGTGAGGAAAATTGAAATGTTTGAAGATGAGATTAGGAAGATAAGAATTGGAAGGCACATTCATCACTTCCCTACCACTTATAAAAACAGCACACAATTAGTGCTTTCATTAAAGGGAGAAACTTTCAGAAGGATAGAAACTAAGGAAAGCACGTGAACAACACAATTCTTTGAGTGAGGTTCTCTATAAATATTAAAATAACTGATATGTGATATGACACATATTTAAGACATGGCATAGTAGTAGTCATTGTATTAAGATTTGCTTGTGCACAGTGCTATAATAGCCCTTAAGAACTCAAGCCAACCAAAATTAGTGGTAATAAATTTTAGTTAAATTTAGTAATATATTTTAAATGTAATTAAATTTGTGTGTGCTGGGTAAAGTTGCATTGATTTCTTTTATGAATATATTTTAGAAGACAGTGGATAATTTTAGGGATAGGAAAAGAGATTAATGACATGACTAACTTACCTATGGCTTTCCCTTTGGATAATGTGATCCATCTGAGACTGAAATATGTGTATGCATTTAAGTAGGAAGTAAAGTTATTTGCTTATACCTGTGCCAAAGGATTATTACAGTGTTTTCAGAAACTACATAAAAGAAAGACTTCTATTAATTGTTCTTCCTATTTGCACTAAAATTTTTCCACTGGGGATGGGACAGGGAGGAACTTACGAATAAGGTATATTGGAGGTGGAATATGGGGGGAAGTCTGCATGGTATTCTCCATAACTGGACACTGAAGTATAAAGCGCAAGTCCATAATTTTTCATCAGAAGTTAAATGTATGTATATGAAATATTACCAACAGACTTGCCTGTTCTAGCTTCATGTAAATGTTATTGCTCTTTCCCTCCTAGAGGATTCAGAAAACTATAGTTTAATACTACTACTTTAATGGGATTTATAGTGTCACTGGGTTATAATTCTACTACCAAATAGTTTTCCATTACTGAGCCTGTTCTCTAAGTATGGCTCTTGTCCTTTCAGTTCCCAGGAATGGACTTGCCCAAACTAAAGCCAGAGCAGACCGTGCCAGCCACCTAACTTCTCAAAACCTCCTGGTCATTCTTCTCCTGCTCGGTCAGAAGCAACTAAACTAACAATCAGCCTTTGAGATGTCACCTCCCAGTCACAGACACAGCAGTGCTTTTAGCTTTCTGAATAACCAGATTGTCTCTGGAGTTAAGTTCAGCATCCTCTGAGAAGTTAAGAGACAGCGCATGTCAGGGCTATGAAGAAAATATAAGCCTTGTATAACTAGGCATTTTGTTCTTCCTTTGTAAAAGCCATCATTTCACATTCCCTGGGCTACCTAAATAGTGAGGTCCTGATTCTGTGTTGCAGTTCGTGGATTCTTGGTGATCACTGAGGGAAGAAAGCAAGATTCCCGAATCCTCTACTGAGGATCGGAGGGGGGGGGGGGTTGTAGGAATTTAGTACTATCATCTTCAAAAGTCACATCTACCCTCATGAAGCTGAATAGCATTTATATTGTCCCCAGGTTTTTCTTTTTGCAAAGCTTAAAAAAATGCCAAAAACTGTGTCCTTATTCAGTTGTCAAGTGTGAAAGATTTATTGTGAGTTTTAATTCTTTTATCTCCAAGGGCTCTGAGAAAGATTACCAATTATGGGTCAATTCTGGCAAGGAAGACGCACCATACCCACTCATTGGTAAGTTTCTGTAAAAATCTAAGATAGCTTTGATTGTAATTTAATTATAATTTTAAGTATCTCGGAAGATTGGTAATATGATACTAAGTTAAACACAATTAAATATTAAATCTCATATCAGTTAGTAAATGCTTGAAAGATTTATTATGTGGTAGAACAATATCTCTTCACTCAGTGGCTAATGGTATGACTGGGGTGAGAAATCTAAATTTTCCTCCCTGCAGTTTTACTTTACAAAGAGAGCTAACCTGCTAAATCTTTAAAACACATTTTCTGGGTATGGCATTATAACACAGCAGGTTAAGCTGCCGCTTATGACACCAGCATCCCAAGTTCCACTGCTCTGCTTCCAGTACTCCCTGATAACACACCTGGGAAGGCCATGCGTAATTGCTCAAGTACCTGGGCCCTGCCACCCATATGGGAGTCCTAAATGGAGTTCCTGGCTTTGGCCTGGCCCAACACCAGCTGTTGTGGCCATTTGGGGAGTGAACCAGCTCAAGCCCAATCAATCTCTGCCTTCTCTGCCTGCCTTTAAAATAAGTATTTTAATTTTTTTCCTGCAAGCAGCATGTTTGACAATGATTTTCCTCCATTTGTCTATTATTTAGTTCTTGAGCTTTCTTTTCCTATCTCTACTTATTGTGTTACCCTGTGGAAGACCATCTGAAATCTAGCCTCACATTTTAGTACATCCGTGAGTATTTAGCAAAGTTCTAGACACAGGGGGCAAGTGTTAGACATCATAAAAAAATAGATAATTCCATTTAAAGTCCTAAAACTCTTCACTGCCTAGCACACTTCGCTATTCACCTAAATGTTTTAGCATTTGTTTTGAAGAGTTATTGGTAAATATGGTATACCTCACAGTATTAAAATCATTTAGTTGAAAAACATTTATTAATCAATAGCATTTAAAACAAGGGAGCACTTAAAATGGAGCACTTAAAACAAGGGAGAACATCTGTAGCAGAGTCTGAAATGACGACAGTGGTGGTGTTCATGACCTCGTTATTCCAAAATGCTTATTATCTGGCAAGTATTGTGAGAAACATTACATGCATGATCTCAGGTTATCCTTTCCTTTATCTGTGAGGTCACTGTATAATTTAGATTTCTGTCAGGTAATCTGAGCAATATTTTAAAGAAAATAGTAGTTATTTTATTTGAAAGGCAGAGAGGGAGGGAGAAAGATAATTTCCATCTGCTGGTTTATTTTTTTCTTTTTTAAAGATTGTATTTATTTGAGAGGTAGAGATACAATGAGAGAGACAGAGAGAGAGGTCTTCCATCTGCTGGTTCACTCCCCAAATGGCCACAATGGCCAGGGCTGACCCAGTCCGAAGTCAGGAGCCAGGAGCTTCTTCCAGGTTTCCCACGTGGGTGCAGGGGCCCAACCACTTGGGCCCTCTTTGTTTTCCCAGGCCATAGCAGAGAGCTGGATCAGAAGAGAAGCTTGAACCGGTGCCCATATGGGATGCCAACACTGCAGGTGGTGGCTTTACCTGCTACACCACAACGCTGGCCCCATAATTTACTTCTTAAATACCTATGACAGCCAGGGTTAGGCCAGGCCAAAGCCAGGAGCCCAGAACTCAATCCAGGTATCCTACTTGGGTGGCAAGCAATTGAACCTCTGATGCCTCCTAGGGTATGCGTTGGCCGGAACCTGAATTGGAATCTGAGGAGCTGGGGCTCAAAACAAGACACTCCAATATGGGATGCAGGCATCCCAAGCAGAGTGGCAGGGAGCTGGATCAAAAGTGGAGCAGCCGGGACATAAACCAGTGCCCATACCAGGATGCCGGCATCTCAGGAGGCAGCTTTATTCTCTCTACACAATGCCAGCCCCTATACTTACCTTTTAATTTAGTTTTTTTACTTAGAATAAACCTGTCGGGAGCTGGTGCTGTGGCACAGTAGGTTAACACCCTGGCCTGAAGCTCCAGCATCCCATGTGGGCGCCGGTTTGAGACCCAGCTGCTCCACTTCTGATGCAGCTCTCTGCTATGGCCTGGAAAAGCGGTGGAAGATGGCCCAACTCCTTGGGCCCCTGCACCCAAGTGGGGCTCCTGCTTTGGATCGGCACAGCTCCGGCCGTGGTGGCCAATTGGGGAGTGAACCATCGGATGGAAGACCTCTCTACCTCTCCTCTCTCTGTGTAACTCTTTCAAATAAATAAATAAATCTTAAAAAAAAAAAAAAAAAAACTCTGTCTCTCCCTGTCACTCTACCTTTCAAATAAATTAATTAAAAAAAATAAGCATGTGATCATGCTCAGAGCTAAGGATAAAGTTGAATGGGTTTCAGATTTTATAATGTCCTTTTTGTAAAAGTCATTGGGCAAGAATTAAAGTTGTCATTAAAAATCAAATACTTAATGAAATTGGTTTAATATATTTATTTAAAAATAGCTGCATAACATTTAGTCTTAGAACAGCTCCATGCTGCATTACTAGCGTGAGACATGATTGTCCCATGATTTAGCAGCAATTCTTAATTGTATATATTTATGTCTTTGTATTTATATGTGTACATTTAAATATAGACACACAAGAATTAAATGCATATTAAATTTGAAAGATAGAGCTGCAGTACTCTGGCTCACTGCCCTCACCCCCAGAAGCTTGCTGTGGCCAGAGCTAGGCTGGAGTCAGGAAGGATGCCCATCACTCCCAGGGTGTGCGTGGAGAAGCAGCTGGAACTGAGAGCTGGAGCTGGGGCTCAAACCTAGACACTCCAGCATGGAATGTGGGCATCTCCACTGCTTAACTCTCTATACTTAAAAAGAATCCATGGCACAGTATTATTTACAGATTATATTGAGAGGATGCAATTACTTAGAGTACAAAAAGCAAAAATCATGTTGCAGTCAGATGTCCAGGATTTAGTTTTTCTGGTTCATAAATTCCTTTCTGCATCTGTTTCTAATCCCCAGCATTCTCCTTCTGATTAGTGCCTGTGAACACAATTTTAGAGGACAGCAGTGGAGGGAAGCATGGATCAAGCCAGCCCCAGTGCTCTGGCGTAATTCTAATTGCAGAATGAAGGATGTCTTTTTCAGACAGACGTGTTACGTAGTAGTGATAGTGTTGCTTTACATATATAGTCCTTTGCCCCAATAGTGAAATTAACCACTAATGTTTACTTATTTGATATGTATAACATTTGTGTCAGATAGGCAAATAATTTAAATTATGTACTTGAATCAGAACATGAATTTGCTGAATATTTATAGTTCTAGGTAGTGAGAGAAATTACAATGTATTTAAATATTCATATATGAAGACATAGGAAAAATCATTAGGTTTCTCAAATCAGAACATGAATTTGCTGAATATTTATAGTTCTAGGTAGTAGAGAAATTACAATGTATTTAAATATTCATATATGAAGACATAGGAAAAATCATTAGGTTTCTCAAAAACTGATGTACATATTTATTCCAATTAATATATCTATCCTTTTTTAAAAAGGATTTGTTCATTTGTTTTTGAAAGTCAGAGTTAGAGAGTGAGAAATCTTCCATCTGCTTGTTCACTCCCCAAATGGCCAGGGCTGGGCCACACCAAAGTCGGGAATCTGGAACTTCATCCAGGTCTCCAACAAGCAGTTGGGCCATCTTCCGTTGCTTTCCGAGGTGCAATGGCAGGAAGCTGGATCGCAAGCAGGAAGCTGGTATTACAGGTGCTACGTAAACTGCAGTGCCACAAAGCTGGCCCCCCAGATAATTCTTGAAAGATATTTTTCCTCTTTGCTTTCCTTCCCTCACCATGAAAATAAACTGCTTTGGTAGGGTCACCTGCGTAATGCAGTGATCTGTAAAGCTATAGGAGTATACATGGTGAACCTTCAGTCAGCAGAAGGATCCTAACCTAAAGTTGTTGCAGGAGTAAATAGGAGTCTACTCTAGTTGGTAGCATACATGCTCATAGGAATAGTCTGCCTGAAGTCTACTTGTAGGTTTTTTTATACACAGGACATGAATATCCCTATGGAATTAAAATGAGCCATCTTCGAGACACTGCACTCCTGACGCAGGGATCAAAGGACTCTGCTGCCACCCTCAACCTCCAAGAGCCCTTCCTCATGGAACAGCTGCCCAGAGAGATGCAGTGCCAGTTCATCCTGAAGCCCAGCCGCCTGGCTGCAGCCCAGCAACTTAGTGGTGAGTTCCTTCTCCCCCTGCATAGAGCCTTCTCTCAGCACAGGTTTTCGTTCCTGACCACAGACTTAGCACAAAAGCAGAACTCCAACTTCCAGCCAGATAACGTACATTCTCTTTCAATTGGAAAGATGGAGTTTTAGAAGATGATTTTATAAATTATAAATTAGCAGTAGGCATGACTAGATTTTAACCAGCAGCTTGTAGCAATACAGTCTGTCTCTTCTTTTCACTATTCCAGGCAATGGTGCAGCTGTGTCAGTGCCCTCTTTGCACTCTAACACTGTACTGTGTGTTCCTCCAAGTGGTTACATTATAAAAAGCATGGCTGTCACAAGACTGTGATGCTGTACCTGGATGGTGATAGTGATAAATACAAAGGTTATTCAGAAAGTTCACAGAAAATATTTATTGAAAAAAAAAAACAACGCATGGGTCTTTTAAGAATTATGCCAAAATAGGCCGGTGCCGGATTCTGTCCCAGTTGCCCCTCTTCCAGTCCAGCGGAGGATGGCCCAACTCATTGGGCCCTGCACCTGCATGGGAGACCAGGAGAAGCACCTGGCTTCAGATCAGCACAGTGCGCTGGCTGCAACGGCCGTTGGAGTGTGAACCAACGGTAAAAGGAAGCCCTTTATCTCTCTCTCTCTCTGTCCACTCTGCCTGTCAAAAAAATTAAAAAAAAAAGAATTATGCCAAAATAAACTTATCTCTTAATTCCATTTTCTGCTAACTTTTTGGAGTAGCCTCATCTACATAAGTCTCTCCTTAGCCTACTGAGCTCATATAAATCCCCTTTGAACTCCAATGTCTCTTAACCATCCCATAGTAAAGACAAGAATGAAAAGCAATGTACAACATAATTTACCCTAACTGAAGTTTAAGCTCTCTATCTGAAATTAAGATTTTATAAGAGACAGAAGACAATGGCTACCAAAAACTGAGTGGGATAGTGGAAAACTAATGATGAACTTCTATAACTGTCGTTGTCAATGTAAACCAATTAAGGGGATCTGATGAACCCATGGCATTGCCTTTTGCAGATGAGCAAACTCAGGCCCAAAGAATAATAATAATAAGTTTAAATGGATGGCATGGACCTTCCTGGCAAATGACAGATTATTAGCATCATCTTACTGCCAGATGAAATTCTTCATCTATTAATAAGAGTACCTCATACCTTTTCCATCTTCACTGCAGAATGACCCTTTTTTGAGACCAACCATCCAGACTTAGAGAAAACAGACAAATCATTCATTGCAAAGATTCAGATTTTTTTTGCTTTAGATGTTCATACAGATCAGTATCCCTTTAAACAGAACCTCCGCCAATGCATTTTAAATTGTTTAATTTATAATTTCCACACTAAAACCACCTTAGTTTCTGAAATAATTGCAACACCGGCATTAAACATTTCCTATTCAATCCATTGATTCAAGACTGACAGCTTGTTAGGCAAAAATACTTGAACTGCTCTCTTCAACTACTATTTGTTCATTTTATTTTTCGTCTCTGGAAGCCTGGATTTCTTCTGTCTCATACCACTTTATTCATCCATTAGCGCTCTATCCTACTTGAAAATTTCAGGATTATGATGAGATTCCATCTTGCTGAAAACCAGAGCTCCTGTCAGTCTCCTTTGTACTCTCCCATATTCCTAGTAAAATCCTATTTAGGTGAATTCTAAGTACTATTAGATGAAATCCTATGGCATCAGGAAAGTTTGTGATCCTTAATAACCAACCCCAAATGAGCACTCCATACTGGCTGGACCATTGTAATTATGTTTCATTAAGACATGTTCGAGCTCCTTGAACCAGCCATATCATTTACATCTCTATATACACATCCTGTCCTGTCACTTTCTGATGATCTCCTAGCTGGTAAGTCATCAAAGGCTCCCTCCTATATGCAATTTGGGACATGCTCAAGCTGACTTGCCCCAAACGGTAGAGTTAGAAAAGTACCAGGGGATTCCAATTCAATCCCATCAAGGTGGCATGTACCAATGCCATCTCACTAGTCCAAGTGATCAATTTCTGTTCACAATTGATCATAATGATAGGACTAAGAGCCAAAGAGATCACATAAACAAGACTAGTGTCTGCAAATATATATATATATATATATATATGCTAAACTGATCTTCTGTATATAAAGAAAATCGAAAATGAATCTTGATGTGAATGGAAGGGGAGAGGGAGTGGGAAAGGGGAGGGTTGCGGGTGGGAGGGACATTATGGGGGGGAAGCCATTGTACTCCATAAGCTCTACTTTGGAAATTTATATTCATTAAATAAAAGTTAAAAAAAAAAAGGCTCCCTCCTCTGTCAAACAAAGGTAGTTTGAATTTTTATTAGTCATCTCCTATAATGTAATTGAGTTATGGGGTTGTAAGTCTATTTGCTTACAACTCTGCCATTTTGAAGGGTGCTATATACAGATCATGGTTTTTTATTCTCTAAAATGTGAGCTCCATGAAGGCATAGATTTTCATTTCTTTTGTTCACTTCTGTGTCCCCAGCACCTGGCACAGTGATGGCATACGTACTCAGTACTTGTTGAATTAGCTAATTCAGATATTTTTTTAAACTTTTATTTAATGAATATAAATTTCCAAAGTACAGAATATGGATTACAATGGCTTCCCCAGATATTAATGAATTGCTTTATCAGTCTGTTCATTCCCTACAACTCTGCTGAGGAGAGTAATATTCTACTCTTTATTCTCTGGATACTTTATCAATTTTTTTTTATTTTCTTTTTTTTTTTATCTTTTATTTAATGAATATAAATTTCCAAAGTACGACTCATGTGTTACAATGGCTTCCCCCCCCATACCATCCCTCCCACCCCACCCGCAACCCTCCCCTTTCCCACTCCCTCTCCCCTTCCATTCACATCAAGATTCATTTTCGATTATCTTAATATACAGAAGATCAGCTTAGTATACCTTAAGTAAGTATTTCAACAGTTTGCTCCCACACAGAAACATAAAGTGAAAAATAATAGATGATTTTTTTTAAATGATGATGAAATCAGATCACACCTATTGTCATGTTTAATCCCAGTGAGAGTCAAGTTGGGAATTGATAATTTCTTTCTTTTTTTTTTTTTTTTTTTTTTTTTACAGAAGATCAGTTTAGTGTACATTAAGTAAAGATTTCAGTCGTTTGCACCCCCATAGAAACACAAAGTGAAATATACTGTTTGAGTACTCGTTATAGCATTAAGCCTCAGTGTACAGCACGTTAAGGACAGAGATCCTACATGAGGAGTAAGTGCACAGTGACTCCTGTTGTTGACTTTACCAATTGACACTCCTGTTTATGGCATCAGTAATCTCCCTATGCACCAGTTATGAGTTTCCAAGGCTACGGAAGCCCCTTGAGTTCTCCGACTCTTATCTTGTTTAGACACGGTCATAGTCAAAGTGGAGGTTCTCTCCTCCCTTCAGAGAAAGGCACCTCCCTCTTTGAAGACCTGTTCTTTCCACTGGGATCTCACTCACAGAGATCTTTTTGCCAGAGTGTCTTGGCTTTCCATGCCTGAAATACTCTCATGGGCTTTTCAGCCAGATCCGAGTGCCTTTAGGGCTGATTCTGAGGCCAGAGTGCTATTTAGGACATCCGCCATTCTATGAGTCTGCTGAGTATCTCACTTCCCATGTTGGATCACTCTCCCCTTTATTTATTCTATCGGTTGGTGTTAGCAGATACTAGACTTGTTTATGTGCTCCCTTTGACTCTTAGTCCTTTCATTATGATCAATTGTGAACTGAAATTGATCACTTGGAGTAGTGAGATGGCATTGGCACATGCCACCTTGATGGGATTGAATTGGAATCCCCTCGTATGTTTCCAACTCTACCAATTGGGGCAAGTCAGCCCGAGCATGCCCCAAATTATACATCTCTTCCCTCTCTTATTCCCACTCTTATGTTTAACAGGGATCACATTTCAGTTAATTTTCAACACTTAAGAATAACTGTGTGATAATTACAGAATTAAACCAGTCTACAAAGAGATCAAGAAACTCCACAAAAACAAAACCAACAACCCACTTAAGAGATGGGCCAAGGACTTCAATAGACATTTTTCAAAAGAGGAAATCCAAATGGCCAACAGGCACATGAAAAAATGTTCAAGGTCACTAGCAATCAGGGAAATGCAAATCAAAAGTACAATGAGGTTTCACCTCACCCCGGTTAGAATGGCTCACATACAGAAATCTACCAACAACAGATGCTGGCGAGGATGTGGGGAAAAAGGGACACTAACCCACTGTTGGTGGGAATGCAAACTGGTCAAGCCACTATGGAAATCAGTCTGGAGATTCCTCAGAAACCTGAATATAACCCTACCATTCGACCCAGCCATCCCACTCCTTGGAATTTACCCAAAGGAGTTTAAATTGATAAACAAAAAAGCGGTCTGCACCCTAATGTTTATTGCAGCACAATTCACAATAGCCAAGACCTGGAACCAACCTAAATGCCCATCAACGGTAGACTGGATAAAGAAATTATGGGATATGTATTCTTTAGAGTACTATACCGCAGTAAGAAACAACGAAATCCAGTCATTTGCAACAAAATGGAGGAATCTGGAACACATCATGCTGAGTGAAGTAAGCCAGTCCCAAAGGGACAAATACCATATGTTCTCCCTGATCGGTGACAACTGACTGAACACCAAAAAGGAAACCTCCTGAAGTGAAATGGACACTATGAGAAATGGTGACTTGATCAGCATAGCCCTGACTGCTAATGGACAACTTAATACATTATCCCTCATAGTATTTTTTTTTGTCTATCAATTTTATTTAATTTCACTAACAGGCAGTCAAGTGCCCTGAGGGTTTCACCTAATTTTGCCAGTAACTTACTCAATTCAGTTGTAGGCATCTTCTGCTTAGTTCTTCTCTGAGGTAAGGATAACAGTTGTTCTAGTAGTAGGTGATTCATGGTAAATAGGACCAGGGATGGAGTAACTATAGACCAGTGGTTCCAAAACCCGAGTAACAGAATCACTTATGCAACTTAATAATTATAGTTGAACCACTTAAATATTTTTAAGCCACAGAAGATTTTGATGGACATATGCTTTGGAAACCACTGACTTAAATCAGGAGTTAGTACACTTTTTCCTTAAGGAACTGTATAGTAAAATTTGCATATCAGTGCAAAAAAACCAAGGATATTATGTCAATGTTCGTGTCATAAGAAGCAAATTTCCATATAGTTTATTGATGGAATTTAAAACAATAAATAATTGAATAATTTATAGTAAAAATTCTTTCAGAGGGACAACAAAAAATTACTGATCTGATCATCAAAACTGATTGCAAATGTTCTGGTCTGCAGTGAGATTTCTATATTTCATCTTTGAAAACATCTTTTCACACAGAAAGGTACTGCCAAATACTGATGTGCTGCAAGCAGATAATTTTAATTGAACATATTCCTCTTTTGGATGGTATTTGCAAAATTTTGTTAGATTCTTGTCTTGGTGTTTGCCTTTTCAGTATATCTTTTCATTGCAGATTAATCACTTTCAGCTGAAGATTAGGTAGATGCTCCTCAATTGAAAAGTTAAATGTATTTTGAGATAAGGTAATTTCCTTTGCTCTTGCATTGAGATTGGTATGACACAGCTGGGACTGTAGTTTGAGCTCAGAATATTTGCTGCAAATTGGTTTAGGGATAGAGTTCTTGTTTTAACTTTTGACAGGATGAGATGTGTATTAAAGCAGTTTGACTTTACCATGGTGAAAGTTTTATTTGTATTGTTTTGCCTTATAATTTTAGGTTGAATTAATTAAGAAATATCAAATCTACAGCAAACAGTAATTTCCAGAGCCATTCAGTGTCTATTGGTAGGAAGTCCAATCTTGGCCCTAAATTCAAATTATCACTGAAAAACTATCACTATTCAGTCATTGAGTACTATGTGATAACACAAGACAGGCTAATGTTTCGCTTCTATTTCTGATAAAAATTCACAAGATTAAGAACAATGAAGCCCCTCAGAGAAAATGAAGTTCACTGTTGTACCACTGATCAGTGCAATACAATAAATAACCATAGCCTTAAAAAACTACATTTTCCAAAGCTTTGTAAACTTGTCAAATTAATACCTTTCTCTGCTCAGTACATTTTCATCACCATCAAATACAACACATCTTAGCAGATTCCATTTCAGGTAATATTGAATTACTGTTTTCTCAAAATCTTTGAAAATATTCTCACCTGTAATTGTTCCATGCAGATAATTCAAAGCTAACTCTTTAGCTGCTACACACTGAACATTGACTTCTTGGATAAATAAGTAAACAGTATTACTAATTTCAATAACCATGACTTATCAAAAACCAGAATGCATCTCTTATGATGGACTCAAACTACCTCCACGAGCATGAAGCAATGAAACAAACTGCAGCATACATCTTCTGTCTTTAAATCCCTGCTCTTGTCACTAAAGCTCACTATTATGTAGACATGTTAGCACCAACTTCGTGAATTGGAATTCACTTTACATGGTTGTTGTCTTATTGTCAGCATCCCACCCGGCTTCTGTTACTGTTCATAGGGACTCTTTAATTTAAAGGAAAAAAATGCCACTGTGGACATTGTTTTCAGTTCTCCCATAGCATCATTGGCTTATAGAAAATACAACCATATGAAGATCAAAATCTTCTCCAGCTTGTCCCTAATATAAATCAAAATTTAAGAACAAGAATTGGTTTTACTTTCCCTAATGTTTCTTTTTTTTTTTTCCCTAATGTTTCAATTGAAAAAAAGCCAATATTCTTTTTCAGCATATATTATAAAAATATAGAATGTGATCTTACTTACCAAGTACCACTTGTTAGAGTCCATCAGACTCTGTGGCCTGTATAGTTCAAATCCATATAAAACATAGATTCTTAAATTGCTTAGTCCTACAAAGTGGATATTTTGCATAGCCTCTTTTGTGAAAACCAGATACTGTTTCTAAGCTTAGAGGATAAAAGAAAATCATTTCTATAAGAGCAGTAGCTGAGAATAATTGTATTTTTAAGCCACCTCAATAAAACTGGGCATAATTAGGCAAAATTCTGTTGTCTCCCTTTCTGAGAAAGATTCCTCTAGTTGAAGAAAATAATCCTGTTAACTAGATAACCTTATGTCAGCGTAGTCATCCCCAGTGTTCTTCTGCCTCAGCATGGAGGCAGAAAATAATGTAATCCTGAAAGTAGAGTAGCCCTCAGTCTCTCTACCAGCCATCTCTGAGACTTAGAGTACTGTAACTTTGTCTTTGGGGTGGTTGGTCCCTAAATTCAGGGTTCAGGACACAGACATTTAAAGATTTGACCTCAGATATCAAAGGAAATCTGTTTAGTCAGGAAAGTGTTTGCCCCCTCCTGTTCCCAGAGCATTTTATACATGTTTTGTTTAGGTGTCTACCTGTCTCTTTAGACTGTTAGCATCTTAAGGCCTGGGAATTCATCCTCAGGGTGTAGAGCAGAGGTTAAATGAGCATCACACCTAGTATGGAAAACTTTGAGTTGTATATGAGAGTCTGGAGTAAAGAGGGATTCTTCTGAACTGTTGGGGTTTCCACATCCAGGTTGCAGTTCTGTGCCCACAGTGTCCCACATCTGGTTAAGATGCAAATCTAAAGTGCAATTGAACTGTTCACTGCCCTTGTTGGGGAGGGGGTATAATTTGGGTAGATGGAGGCCAGAATAGAATTTCCAATTGAAGTGTTGTAAGTATCATTCTGTACTTTCAAGAATTGCAGTTTTTAATATTCAGTTCCCTAATTTAAACGTGAAAATGAATTCTGCCAGGGTTATATAGGAAAGCTATACCTACGTAAATTTAGTTTGCTTTATATTTACTTCACCTTTTTTTTTACAGCAATAGTATGTGTTTTCATTAGCCTGTGACATTTAGAAAGTCAGAGCTATACATTAAAAGCTCTGCAAGAAAGTAAACTTTAATGAAATTTTTTTTCTCTCAAGCCCAGAGGGAACCTGAATTCTCAGATTGAATGCTTTGCATAACAAAAGGCATGGCTACAGCTGAAAGTACTTATGATAAAGGATTCAATTTCAACTTCATCTTCTGTCTACACTCATAGTATAGCTGGATATATAAATCATGGATAGAGCATTCTTAAGTTTGTGAAAGCTAAACCATATCTGATAGTTTTAGGAATAATAAAGCCAGTATAAATGTGAGCAAACCAGACTAACTACAACTCCTCAAAATACACATTCATGTATATTAAACTAATATGTGCACAGGTTGACATTGCTAACCATACAAGAACCCCTTCTTGGATTCCAGAGCGTTTAGTTTCATTTTCTAAGATGGTGGGGATCAAGGATGTTAGGACAGGAAAAGAATACATCAGTTGCACAGAGCAGTGGTGTTCCTTGGGGTCTGTTTATCTCCTCAAGTCTGGCAAACAAGATGGAGAGTGGGATGGAGGGTAGGGCCTCTCTGTTGGGAGCAGTTTGGTATCTTGGCAGCTTTAATCAGGAGCACTGTGACCCATACGATGGGCAAAGTCATGCTCTTTATACATTATCCTATATGATCCTCTTAGTAAGCCCTAGAGGGATAGGGAGGAGAGTTTAGATAACTTGTCCAAGTAAGTGTCTGAACCAGGAATATAATGAGGCTCCTAACTCAGACTCAGAAAACTTTACATACCTGAGTGTGTACAGTGGTGACATGTGGGTGACTGTCTTAGGCCGTCTGGTAAAAAACTCCTTATTCGCTTATCCTCCCATAACTTGGCTTGTCTAATATTTGCTTAAGTACATGATCCTGAGGCAATAAAAGGGTAAGGCATGTTAAAAATAAGACTGCTTTGAAATTAGCTTTTGACAATACAGATCAGTGGAAGATCTATTCCCTTGCCATTCCATTATCAGCAGAGGTCAGGAGCCACCCATCGTGCTTAGGAACTTGGAGTGTCATTGGAAATACTGCCATGCAGCCAGAGTTTAATAACTAATTCCCATGCGCTCCCCTGCAAAAGATGGAGTCAAACCAACAGTGGAAACAGCCTAGCTATGAAGGCTCCTCAAATCTTTATTGAAGCTATTTTGAATCCACTCCACAAATCAGATTTGGGCAGAATTTATTTACAATATTTGGGGCTCCCACTGTTAGGTTTTCTCCATTCAATTTCCATCCTCTCTGTTCTCTTGGTTTTCAAGCCAGTAAGAGTACAGCTTTCTCTCTAAATTTCAGTTACTGCTACTGCCTGTCCTCAGGCTAAAAGCTTGAGGAAAAGAATAGAAAATTCAGGCATTCCCTTCATCCAGATGTACACTTTTACCACTAGTACCCACCTTCTTTTGGCCTCTCTTCAGTGCCTCCAGGTAGTTTTACTTGGGTTTATTTGTCCAAGGCTTATAGTCCATGTGTATGTTTTGGGAGGAGATGCAGGAGGACCAACCGCCTTTACAAATGGAACCTTGAAGAACATTTTCTCTATCAAATCATGTTCAAACTCATTAACTTTCATGTTAAAATTAGACACAGCACAAAAAAAATGGCATGACTAGATTATCATAAGATTATAACTCACTGTTGACATTTCTGCCTTTTTTCACTCTACCTTTTTTCATTTAAATCCTCCATCAGTTTCAACTGTTCAGTAAGTATTATTTACTAGGTACAAGGCACCATGCTAGATGGCCCTTCTGTTGAAATCTTGTTCATTCAAAACCCAAATCAAATGCAAAGACCCCTGCCACTGAACTACATAAAAATGATATACCTCTGAGTGTCTCCAGTACTTTGTTCCTGCATTATAACATTTATTAATATACTTGCTTACCCCCATGACCACCACTACCTCCAGTCTTAGTCCCTGTTAGGTTATGAACTTACCATAGCAAGGGCCAGTCTCGTTCATGTTTGTGTCCATCCATGCTGCCTTCAGCATACATCTTTGCAGTTACAAAAAAAGAGGAAAAAAATTGTAGAACATTAGCTTCCTGTCTCTGTTCTCAGTAGTACAGTGGGCATCAGGTAACAAATCATTCTTTGTCTCTGGGCAACAACTTGAGACACATTTCAATCCACTTCATCTCTTCTTCTACCATCTCCCTCCTTTGCTGTTTCTTATTATTTAATTGTGGTCTCCTTCAATATTCAGCTTTTTTGTATGCTTGGTCTCATCTTTTAAATGGAAAAATATGTATACTGATATGAAGCACTTTTTGCATTAATTTGTTACAGTTAAATAAGGGAATCTTTTTTCTCTATTGAAAATGTAATGCTAGGATGAGTGTTTGGCCTAGCAATTAAGACACCAGTAAAGATGTCCACCTTCCATATTGGAGTACTTAGGTTGGAATGTCAGCCCCAGCCCATGATGTCAGCTTCCTGGTAATGCAGACCCCAGGAAGCCAGGTGATAGCTCAGTTGGATTCCTGCCACCTACTTGGGAGACCTGGATTGAGTTCCCAGTGCTTAGCTTCAACCTCAGCCCAACCCAAATGCTGTAGCCATGTGGAGAGTTAATCAGCACATGAAATTTCAAGTTCATTTGTTTTCTGTCTCCTTCCCTATTATTTGTGAGGCAGACAAACTGAAAATTTAGTGCCAGCACTCAAGTGCATAAACCAGTAGTCCCAAAAGTTCATTTTTTCTTAGTTCATATTACAGTGAAATTTCATAGGTTGAATTGTTGATTAAAAAAAAAGGACCTCATCTGTAGTAAGTATTTTTTCTCTTTGAGCCATAGTAACAAACATGAATTGATGGGGCCAGCACCGTGGCTCACTTGGTTAATCCTCCGCCTGTGGCACCAGCATCCTATATGGCTCCGGGTTCTAGTCCTGATTGCTCTTCTTTCAGTCCAGCTCTCTGCTGTGGCCCAGGAGGGCAGTGGAGGATGGCCCAAGTGCTTGGGCCCTGCACCCGCATGGGAGACCAGGAGGAAGCATCTGGCTGCTGGCTTCTGATCGGCGCAGTGCTGGCCATAGCGGCCATTTGGGGAGTGAACCAATGGAAGGAAGACCTTTGTCTCTCTCTCTCACTGTCTATGACTTTACCTGTCAAATAAAAAAAGTATTTTTTTAAAACTCAACTGATGAAGTTACATGAATTGAACTAGGTTTTTTAATTGTCTTTCCTTTAGATTCAGGTCAGAAGACATTTAAAAGGAGAAGATCTATCATAAACTGGGCCTTCTGGCGGGGTTCTAGCACTCATCTGGACAGCTTGCCCATGTCACCAATGTCACCTGTGCCAGGACAGCTCTTTGGAGTTTCTCTGCCAAATATTTGTGAGAATGACAATCTGCCCAAGCCTGTCTTGGTAAGTCTCATTTTGGCCCATAAACTAATGGGAAGGAGATTTTTGGTATAAAGAGCTCTGGGTGATAACATATGGCTCCAAATGGAAAAATTGCAGACATCCTATTTTTTTATTCAGATAATAAAAATCTGATTTAGCTATTACATTATCTAAGGGAGATTTAATATGGATAAGTTAGTCCACAAGTTCCAGGAAAGAGGCACACAGCCTGTTCTCATGAATGAGAATTGGCTCTACAGAGAATCCACATCATTCCTCACAAATCCTTTCTTGAATTCCACATCGTTCTGAGAGTCATCTTTTATCAGTCTAGCAGCAGAGACTACGCAATGTTTATACTTCTTAAAGGTTTAATAAACTTTATGCTTGCACATTTTAAATACAAAGAAAGATAAAATTCCCTGGCAGTTAGTTGTCTTTAGATTAGATTAGAGCCACTAACATTTTACCATCACTAACTGCTATATTACATAAGCACTGTTAGGCAACATTTTAGTTAGTATCTAGCATCCTTCCAGCACTATACTGGGTATATGACAGTTTGTGCTATTTTGTTTATCCTTCACAACAAACATAGAGGGTAGTTATCATCATCCTTACTTTACAAATGTTAAAAAGGGGCTGGCATTGTGGTGCAGGGAGTTAGGCTGCCTGCAGTGCCTGCATCCCATATGAGCACTGGTAAGAGCCCCGCTGCTGAAATTCTGATCCAGCTCCCTGCTAATGTGCCTGGGAAAGCAGCGGAAGATGGCCCCAGCGCTTGGGCCCTTGCCCCAGAAGTGGGAGATCTAGATGGAGTTCCTGGCTCCCCCTGGCTTCAGCCTTGGCCCAGCCCCAGCCCTTTTAGCCATTCGGGGAGTGAACTCAAGTAGATGCAAGATCTCTCTCTCGCTCTCTCGCTCTCTCGCTCCCTCCCTCCCTCCCTCCCTCCCTCCCTCCTTTCAAATTAAAAAACAAAATGCCTCAGAACCTTACCCAAGGTTGCAAAAGTCAAAAGGCATAACTCAGTTTCAGGTCTCATGGATTGCATGTCACCAGACCCATTCTCTTTGTTCACTGCAGAGGACCAGCACAATTGAACAATTAAAATATACGCTTAGCAATTTTTAAGAATATACCACCTCGTTATTAACTGTAGCCACCATGTTATATAATAGTTTACCTAAGCTTATTGCTCCTACTTAACTGAAATTTTACAGCCTTTCACCAACATCTCCCTTATTCCACACCACTCCTCCTGCCTCATAATGTTTGCTCCCCAAAAATTACTTTAATCTTTCTGGTCATCGATCCAGCTGCAATCCTTCAGTGCTCTCCCTCAAGCAGCCTCCAGCCCCTGGCAGCCAAAGTATATACTCTCTTGCTTGAATGTGAAAAGTGCCATTTTGGTTTTTTTCCCCTTTACTTTCTCATAGGATATGCTGCTTTTTCTGAATCAAAAAGGACCCTTCACAAAAGGTATCTTCAGGCAGTCTGCCAATGTGAAATCCTGCAGAGAGTTAAAAGAGAAACTCAATTCTGGAGTCCAAGTACACCTAGACTGTGAATCTGTTTTTGTGATAGCATCAGTCTTAAAGGTAGGAAACATTCTCTCTTCACCCCATGGTATAGTTGTGGGGCAAGGTAAATGATTTGTTGTATTATTTGTGTTTCATCATGAGCATTATTTATTTTCAAAGCGTCATAATAGATTTAGAATCAAAGTATGAAAAAATCATTTCACAGAGTCAACATTGGACATTTTAAGTTACTACTAATATGATATGTGAGCTATACTTCTTAAATTTTTTTCAGTCCACACTAATTTGTCATCGCTGCTTCTACTTTTTTGAACTCTGGAAAATAATTATAGAAGTTTATCATAATAGACAAACCATCTATTTTACAACTGGAACAAAAAATTGCTGAGGCCAAAAATGCCATGCATTACATTATCATTCCCACAGATATTCCTTCCCTTGGCCCCCAAGCCTTCTACTTCAAAAGTAGAGTAGGAACGATTCCTACTCTGGGACCTTCTTTCACCTTCACCATACTTGTCATTCTTTATGGTTTTCACCCTTCACCCATGCTTACTTACGTCACATCTAAAAGTTAGTTTTTCTAAAATGTTTTCTTCCCCACATTCTTGGAAATGCCCTGCATTTTTGGAAAACCTAAAATCAAAATCAGCTTCAAGCAGAGATTTTAATTCCAGCATTAGCTTCCGCAGACCTGCCTGAGGCTCCCAACTCCCAGTGTTGGAGCCAGGAATAGAGATAAGGCCCAACTTGTATCCCAGGGCCTGAAGCATTTAAAAAAAAAAAAAAGGTCAGAGGAGGAGGGGAAATATGGCAAAGAATATTCCCATACCCCTTTTCTACCTGAAGTACCAACAACTTGTAGAATCTTACTTTATGAACAAACAAGTGTTTCTTAGTAGATGGACCATGTCTTCTTTGAAACCCTAAACCTTTTGGCAGTAGGATATCACACCAGAGAACTGGAGAGCTTGAGCTAGGGTCAGAAAATCTGTTTTGTCCAGGGTTTGTGATTGCTCTTCAGTGGTGGATTTCAATATAGATATATACAGTGATTTTTATTTAATTAGGTTTTTTCTCTTCATTTTTTTAAGAATGTAAAGCCTGTTTTAGAAATATTTCCATACTCTGCTATTCTTTATGGAACCACACTTTTTAAAATTTCATGCTAAATTGTGGAGGCCTACTGCAAAGAAATACGATTCTAGAAGAGTTAAATATGTCTCAAAATGCAGCAATATTATTTGTGCAAAAATAAAAGAAAACTTACACAAATGACTGAAGATTCTGCTTAAGTGGGTACCAAGTAACTGAATTTTATCACCATGTTTACTATCTTACTCTCATGTTCCTCCCATGTGGTTTCAGGAAAGGAGATAATTTTTGCCAAAAGTTTTTGAGCTTTTGTTTCTTTTTTTAAAATTAATACCTAGCTTTCTTGTCTTTAAGACTATTTTGAAGTAGTACTTAAGTTTTCCTTTAATTTTTCACTTATGCTGGCTTCACTTAAATATAAGTTTAACTTTTCAGACTATAATTGGATGAAAATTGCCTCAGACACTGCAACTTTGATCCCTCAGACCTTTGAGGAAAAGTGCATATTTAATCCTGCAGAATCTCATCTCAAATGAATTTGGAAGTTCTGCTGGTGACCTGGGCTTGCATTTGGGAGGGGAGGAGACTGAGTTGAGTGCTGCAAGTTGGTAATTGTAATTCAGCACCAGCTCTCACTCTCTCTCCACTGTGATGGTGGCTGTATTTCGTAACTTGTTATTCCAGCTGTGGGAGAGTTCAGTAAGATGTTACGAGTTATTATCTTTCAAGTGTAGGTTTAAGATTTAATGATGTTTTTCTTCAAGACAGATCATAAGTATGTTTTCCACTGAGATGTTAAAAGAGAACTATTGTAACTACCCCATTTTGAAATAACAGATTTTGCCTCTTCTAAATCTTACTTTAAGTGGATGCTACAGCTAAAATTAGTTTGAAATTATGAAAATTAAATAGTTTTACCCCAAAATGGGTAACTTACGTGATGATCTCTCTGAACTACAAATCTCCAGGTGCATTTCTGCAGGAAGATACAACTGAACAGAGAAAGACTTTCACTCTCAAAAAAAAAAATTTAGTATGATCATAGTGATATAACTACAATGAGATTCTTTATCTTAGAGTCTCAGTTATAGTTGATCGACCTTCCTTTGTCCCACATTAATATTTGGCCATAAGACCCATAGCAACATTTCAATAAAGTCCTATTATGGCTGAGGCCATTCTTGACATTGACATGTACAGATAAGATGACCACATAACCAGCTAACTGTATCAATAAGTTATTGCAGTTTCTGAATTGGTAATAGAAACATGATATAAAAGGAACAAGTTGTGTGTTGCCCCTGCAAAGTACAACAATAAGGTTATTGTTTTGGTCTTCCAGCAAAAGTTAACATTGCCCAATTACAGACTTCCACCTCTCTATTCTGTCAGCAGGAATATACATTTGGATAGACAACCATGAGTATAGTGCTTAAACATGAAACTGAGGTTTCTCTGCTTAAAATTTACTGAGGGGGACATCAGAAATGCAAGCTTGACCTTGTTAATACAATTCCAAAATCCACAGAGAGAATTGGCCTAGAACTAACTCTCTAGGACCAGGGACCAAATTAACCTCTAAGATTTGTGTAAACCAAAGCTAAACTGCAAATACCCTGGGTTACATCCTGTTTGTGTCAGTCTGATTTCACCACACCCAGCCCCACCAGTGGTCTCGGCAGAACAAGGTCACCAGGAAAGGATAATGTCCCACAGATGTATTATTTACTGTACCTCAGGCATGTGGGTGCTTTCCCACGCTTCAGAAACCAACCATCACCTGGAATGCTTTCTGCTCACCAATATATGAATGTTCTTTGATGGAGAACAGACAGTCTTTGAGAACCTTTTGATGCAGTTGCATACCACTGCCACTGAAAAATAAAGTACTAAGATAACAAAGACGTTGTTTTGCTCACTTTTGTTATCCAAGCACCTCAAACAGTTCTTGGCACATAGCAGTAAATTTTATATATATATATATATGATTGATTGATTACCAGATTATGAATCTCATTGATAGCTTGGTACATTTCCTTGAACTAGCTATTTAGGGGAAGAAAAGGATTTAGGATGGTTTACTGCAGGCATCATGTTGTGCTGGTTTGCTAAAAACATACATACAAGCAAGAGGTTTCATCCCAAATTAGTTGTCCTTGATTTCACCCCACCATAATCCACACTTCAGTTATCCAAAAAAAAAAGAAAAAAGAAAAAAAAATCATAGCATGATCTTATGTGTGCACAAGTCAGTGGATAGTGAGCACCATGTAATTCAGAGAGAATTTAAATTCACTTTTCAACAGAATGATTTCTTCTGATTTCTCCAGTATATATTTAGCATGAGAATAATAATTATTTTTCCATCTTTATAAGGATTTTTTACGAAATATTCCAGGAAGTATTTTTTCATCAGATCTCTATGATCACTGGGTCTGTGTAATGGATCAAGGAAATGATGAAGAGAAAATAAATACCGTTCAAAGGTAATTATTCTGATTCTGTCATGTCTTAAGTATAATTTCAAACTTGTAAGGTTGTCTGTCAAAATAATGACAGCTTTCAAAGTCACATCTATGATGACCAACTTAAAAATATATTTATGCTAACTTCTGCCATTGTTACTGCTTTTCTCCCTAATTTTAACATGGAATGTTTAAACATCGTACATCCTCTGTATATCTGAATCTGATAGGAGCTAGAATCTATTAACCTACTACCATAGGCACCATCTGCATTTTATAGTCTTCATTTTGGTAGATATTTGACTCAACAGATGACTTCTAACCACTTACATGATTCATTCAGCAATTGAAGTCATACAGAGAAAATTGCCTGTTCCCTCCCCTTAGGGAAATCTCAGTCTGGTAGATAAACCAAGAATTGTTGCTCAGTCTGATCAGTGACATAAACAGGAGATGTGGGAAGCCTAGCAGCGAGGCAGTCAGCTCTTTGAGAAGTGTCATGAAGAAAAAGGTGCAAGGTCTCAGTCTGATCACAAAGACTGCAGTGTCTTTACTCAGGCAAAGAGAAATTGCTAGTACAGTTCTCTGCCCCTCATTTCTGAATATTTCCTGTTTTGTAAGAGAATAGGAAGGAGGTATAATTTAAAAAAAGGGGGGGGGTAATACTTCCAGTTCTGTGAACACTCATCGTTCTTAATATCATGTATTTACATATGCTTGTTTAGGACTTTTTTTTTCTTGGACAGTTTGAAAATACTAAGTACCTCCTTCATCGGTAAAAAAGTTTAGTGTAACTGTTGAAGACACCAGAAATTAAAGCTGTGTAACAAAATACCACTTCTGTTTCCATCATAGTTCAGTGTGAGCCAAAGGATAGCATTAAATTCTATAATTTATTGCTCATTGTCCAAAATGTTATATCCTACAAGCTGTTACATCCTAAAGCAGTTTCCAAAAAAAAGTTTAATTATGACTCATTTAAAATATAAAGCAAATATGATTTTTTTTTTTTGACAGGCAGAGTGGACAGTGAGAGAGAGAGAGAGAAAGGTCTTCCTTTGCCGTTGGTTCACCCTCCAATGGCCGCCGCGGCCGGCGCGCTGCGGCCGGCGCGCTGCGGCCGGCGCACCGCGCTGATCCGATGGCAGGAGCCAGGAGCCAGGTGCTTCTCCTGGTCTCCCATGGGGTGCAGGGCCCAAGCACTTGGGCCATCCTCCACTGCACTCCCTGGCCACAGCAGAGAGCTGGCCTGGAAGAGGGGCAACCGGGACAGAATCCGGCGCCCCAACCAGGACTAGAACCCGGTGTGCCGGCGCCGCTAGGCGGAGGATTAGCCTAGTGAGCCGCGGCGCCGGCGCAAATATGATTTTTAAATCATTAATGAGTGAACCAGTGTGATGTTAGAAGCAATTCAAAGGAGATTTCAAAGAACCACAGCTTAAGTACTTTAGTTGAATCATAAACAATGAAATGAACTTGGATGCAAAACTGGCTTTTTCTACCAGGGCAGGGCTGCAGATCAGTCAGTTATGTCTCCAGTCAGAACTATCCAGTTTTAGATAAGTATTAGGTGCACTGCTCTCGGCTAACTACATCTTACAGAGTTGTCAAACAGTTCAAAATCTTGGGGCCCTCATAGAATCAGATCATCTAAAAATATATCCTGTTGCCTTATTTTCCTTTGGATGTGCCTAGTCATCTTCTGATCTCTTGAAGGCAGGCCTTCATGACTGAGGTCCTACGAAGCTATACTCAGTGTCAGTCCAGTGTGCGAGGAAAGGCCTCTCTGCTATCTGAGCAGCAGCAGATCCATCACCTTATTTTCCCAGGTCATAGGCTCTGGTTGGAAATCACAAATAAAGCAACAGTGATAAAAATCATCTTATATTGTAGTGAAAATAATTTTTTGAGAATGGCTATTAAAAAACCTCCTATTACCAACCAAATGAGTACAGTCAAAACTATACTGTTCTAAGTTTGACTTCTGTTGAAAGTGGTAGAAATGAAACAGATTTGGGACAGTATTGACCTTGGAATCTGGCGAAGTGCACAGCACAAGCTGTCAGGATGGACCTGGAAGTCTTGGTACCTCGGGTTTGGGTTCTCACCAAGACAGTGCAATTCCTGTGTTGCCATTTGAAATAATTGCTGTTTAATTTTATCAGAAAGCTATTCTGTAGGCTTTGACTGAGAACGTTTCAGGATTTGCCCAAATGAAAACATGCCAGCCGGCGCCGCAGCTCACTAGGCTAATCCTCCGCCTTGTGGCACCGGCACACCGGGTTCTAGTCCCGGTCGGGGCGCCAGATTCTGTCCCGGTTGCCCCTCTTCCAGGCCAGCTCTCTGCTGTGGCCAGGGAGTGCAGTGGAGGATGGCCCAAGTGCTTGGGCCCTGCACCCCATGGGAGACCAGGATAAGTACCTGCTCCTGCCATTGGATCAGCGTGGCGGCCATTAGAGGGTGAACCAATGGCAAAGGAAGACCTTTCTCTCTGTCTCTCTCTCTCTCACTGTCCACCCTGCCTAAAAAAAAAAAAAAAAAAAAAAAAACATATCGTCGTAGTTTCAGGGATGTTCTTCATGCAGTATTTTGTATGAGACATTTTTCTGCCACCTTTTACATTTTCATGGGGTTGTAGAGGCAGTATACAGAAGTTGAAAAATAAAGCCCCTGTGCTTATTCCTTCTTTCTGTATAGGCAGTCCTGAAACTTCCATATCTGAACTGTATGCTTGGTTTTTGCCCTCTTGTCTTGCATGGTTCCCCATGCAAAGTACGGGTTACCTGTCTTTACAGGTTTTTAATGAAATGTCTTGCTTAAAGAGCACTTTTTTCTGTCTTTAGGCTATTAGACCAGCTTCCAAGAGCCAATGTGGTTCTCCTAAGGTATCTTTTTGGGGTGTTACACAATATTGAGCAACATTCCTCATCCAATCAGATGACTGCATTTAATTTAGCCGTGTGTATCGCTCCAAGCATTCTTTGGCCTCCTACTTCCTCCAGCCCAGAACTAGAAAATGAGTTTACAAAAAAGGTAAGGAAGTTTTTCATTTTTATGCACTGGGTGACTGGATTCCTAATTTGAAACTAAGATTCTGGGTATTAATCCCAAAAGTTGATCTCTTAAATTACTTAAGTACACTAACTTATAAAGTTGAGTTTAGAGTGTTTTATCCTGTACTATTAGACTATACACAGGTGATATTGCAGAAAAGTGAAAGTAGTTGAATTACTTTTTTCCTTTGAAGAAAACCAAACAAAATGTAACTGACATTATTCAGAGAATGATAAAAAAGTAGTTGGTACCCTGAAAAATAAAACAAAGACTTAGTTCAGTTCTCAGCCCCAATACTTGTCATCTGTATAATCTTAGGCAAAGTTAGTTACATTGACTGACACTGTCCCATCTAAAAGTGGAAGTGGTGATGATACAGAAGTTACAGAAATCACTCTCCTGCATTACCTGCTCCCGACACGGTATCTGCCCTTCACCTCAACTGCCGGGGCAGGGAAACTACATGTAGGCTCATCAAGAGGCACACAAGTTTTCTTTCTAACTGTGTCTCTGTCTTGCATAGTATATCCCTCTGATAGTCTTTTTCCCAAGGTTATGACAATATACCCTTTATGCAACAAATACTTATCCTAAGTCTTTATTTAATGATACCTTATAAATTTTAGTAACATTGGGCTGGCACTGTGATATTGAGGGTTAAACTACCACCTCTAACACCCACATCCCATATGGGTGCCAGTTCATGTCCCGGCTGCTCCACTTCCAATCTGCTGGTGTACTTGGAAAAGCAGTAGAAATGGACCAAGTGGTTAGTCCTTGCCACTTATGTGGGAGACCTGGATGAAGCTCCTGGTTTCTGCCAGGCCCAGCCCCTGCCATTGTAGCCATTTGGGAATTGAAGGACACCCCCCACCTTTCCTCTCACTGTGTAACTCTGACTTTCAAATAAATAAATAAATCTTTTTTAAAAAAGATCAGGTATTCATATGAAATATTTATAAACATCAAAAGTAACATTTCATTTTTGTCCTTCATTGTACAGGTTTCTCTGCTTATACAATTTCTGATTGAAAATTGCTGTAGAATATTTGGAGAGGAAATTACTTCCCTCTTGGGAGAGGTGTCATTGAGATGTGATACTAGAGAGAATGCTTCAGGTACTGTGAATAATTGGATTGGATTTGTGAGAAATAAACATATGAAGATTCTGGGACAGTAATCGTCCTGGCCCATAATAGCTGAGGTGAAGTGAGCTGGGTCCATGGGATCATGGTTTCTATAAGTTCTTAACACAGCCTGACATAACAGCAGGCCTTCTAAACAGTGTGGTAGGGTTAAGAAATGCACAAGATGAGGGCCCAACCTTCTAGATGTCATTAGTGGAAGTATTTCTAAATAAATTTTGGTTTGAAGAAAAAAAAAAAGTAGAGCCTGGTCTCAGAAACCAGGCACTTCAATATGGGGTGCAGGTGTCCCTAGCAGTGCCCCAACTGCTACATCAAACCCCCACCGCTTGTATGCACTTTTTGCAAAAACAGTTCAGTGTACAAACATTCTTACAGGCAACTTTGTTAACAAACTCCATCTGTCCATTTCATCAACTATCTACTATTAAACATTTCCTAGATGACCCAGAAATGCTTTTTACCAGTTGTTTGGCACAAACCATGATCTATTCAAGGACCACATATAGCATCTGATTATTTAGGTCCTTTTTTGTTATGGTCACTATTGAAGAGGTGGCCCTATAGTTGTTCAGAGAAATGTGCTGCGTTTTGGGTTTGTTTATTGGTGGAAACATGTTATTTCTTTCACATTTTAATAAGTGATGAGTAGTCATGCTGAATCATATCAGCAGACATATAACACATAATTTTGAGCTTGATGATTGGATTGCTGTGCTCACTGCCAATTCACTTCAGTTACATTCTTGCCTTAAAAATAAGACTCAATCTGTTGCTACATTTACATTTTAAAACTATCAAGTTCTAACCAATCATTTTAATAATTGATAGTGGTGATCTGATATAATGAGGGTTATGATCATCTCATTAAAATTTGTGAAGTGTTTTCTAAATCTGTCATCCTTTATACATTTATTGGTAGGCATTCATCTGTTACATGTAGCTTTCCCTTGTTTGTTGAGGATATTTGGTTACCTGAAATAGGTTGTACCAAAATGACAGGATAAAGTGCTTAATTACTATTAGCTGTCACTTTAAATAGTACATAATTGATTTAATGGCTTCCTCAAATGCTGACAAATAAAAATGGTCACACTTAGTAATAAATAAAATTTTATGAGGAATGCTAATAGAAGGTAACTTCAAAAAGTTCATGGAAATTGAATTTTAAAATATGTATTTTCTGGGTGGTCACTGTGGCTCGGGGATTTAAGCCACCACATCCTGTTTTGGAGTGCGTGGTTCAAGTCCCAGCTATTCTGCACATGCCTCTAGAAGCCAGAGAAAGTTAGCCTGAGTATGTGGTTTACTATCCATGTGGGAGACCCCAGATGGAGTTCCTCCTTCATGGCTTCTATCTGGCTTATCTCTCAGTGTTGGCAGGCATTTAGGGAGTGAAACAGTGAAAGAAAACTTTAACTCAGCCTTTCGAAGAAAATGTTTTTAAATATGCATTTTCCATTAACTTTTAGAAGACTTCCACACTCACACAGAAAGTTCATAGAAAACAAAATTAAAGTTTATATTGTTGTAAAAAAATTTTGAAATCCGTGTTATACAAGAGATCTCCAAGAAGTTTATGAAAAATGAGCATTAGGAAAAATTATGCATGGACTTCAAAAAAATTTTTGCACCAAAAGTTTCATCCCTTTTTTAAGATCCCTTATGTAACAGAACTACTATGATTGAAACTGGAATAGAAGCCCAGAGGCCCTAGATGCAGGCCAGTTTTTTTTTTTCTTATTATTCTTCCTCTTAATAGCCCCCAACAAACACCTCAGTATTCCACTGTGCTGTAAAACATTCTGAAGACAAATAGCGTCATTTGGGTGGAAATAGAGTGGTAATGTTGAATTCAAAGACATAGAACCTTCCAGAAATGATTCCTTTACCAATAACTAGTTATGTTATCTTTAGCCAATTATTCTTTGCCACTGAACATCAGTGTCTTTATCTAAAATGTAGAGCATAACAATGTCTAAACTTTGTTGCTTTAGTCACTCTTTACAAGAACCATAAAGAACTTTATAAAAGATAAATTGTTAGGCTTAGCAGATGATTTCTACAAGACTGGATTTAATTGTGTACAACCACCAGCAATCCATGTTAGCAGGCACAATCTTATTCAGAAGCTTGGTATATCTGGCACAAATTGCTTCTCTTTCAATTGTATGATGTGTTTATTGCTTTGAGGAAAATCTTAAGCGTAGTCTGTTTTTAAGGCAGCACAGGAGCATAGGATTGTATTTGTGACATGTTAATCTTGGTTTGTTTTTGTTTTACAGATATCTCTTGCTTTCAACTAAATGATTCCTCCTATGACAGCTTAGAAAATGAGCTCAATGAGGATGCTGATGCTCCATGTAGTGACTTGGTGAAGAAACTTGGCCAGGGCAGCAGAAGCATGGATTCTGTGTTAACCCTCAGTGACTATGACCTCGACCAGCCTGAGCTAGAAGGCCTTTTAACCCTGAGTGACTTTGACTTAGACCATTCGAAAGATGAAGACATACAAATGAAAATCCCTGTTGAATCCAAGCCGGTGAATATTCCAGTTGTATACACGAAGATCCCACCACATGGTCATGCCAGGGCCCCACCTGGTACGTGTACCCCCAGCTCCCTGTCCACACCTGTGGCAGGAGCTCCAAAAAGCCTGAGGCGACACCGGCGCTGCTCGGAGCCCAGCATTGACTATCTAGATTCAAAGCTTTCCTATCTCAGGGAATTTTACCAGAAAAAGCTACGGAAATCCAGCTGTGATGCCATTCTCTCTCAAAAGGATGAGGACTATGTGAAGCAGAATCAACCCCTCCAGGAAGGGGGCAAGACAAGTTTTAAACAGAGTTCGGTCACAGGCACTGAGAGCAGCAAGAGAAGTGCCACTCATCAAAACATTAAGAAGAAAAGCTTGCCTGGCAGTGAAGGCAACCATGTGAAACTTTTCCCCAAGTCCAAGCCAGTGGCCATTTCTGTGGCATCTTACAGTCATTTGTCCTCACAGGACCACCCCAGGAACCAGCCCTTTGATGCGGATACATCTGAGTATTCCCCACCTCACAGACCAGATTCCCTCAAGGGTTCCAGGACACACCGGCGCTGCTCAGAGCCCAACATAGATGATCAGAATTGCAAACTCACCTATCTCAGGGGGATTTACTCAAAGAAACAACATAAAACCAGCTGTGATGCTGGCCTCTTGCAGGGAGAGGAAGACTACCTGAAGCGGCATAAATCTTTGCAGATAGAAGGGCAAAAGCTTATTAACCAGAGTTTGGTCATGGGGATTGAGGTGGGCAAGAGTAGTACAACAAACCAAAACACTGAGAAGGGTCTACCCCCAAGGCTAAACCTGTGCCCCAGGACTAGCTATTCCAGCTTATCCTCTCCAGGAACTTCCCCATCCGGCTCTTCGGTGAGCTCCCAAGACAGTGCTTTTTCTCAAATTTCTGAACACTCCGTGTTTACACCCACTGAAACTTCCTCTCCAATAGATTGCACTTTTCAGTCTCAAAGAAAACAGGGAGACTTTTCTTCTGAATTTAGTAGTTCCAACCTCCTTTCTGGAATGCCCAGTTCCTCATCAGGTCAGGCCACCAGCCATCTGCCATACACAAAAAAGGACACCGTGGAGTGGCATTCACAGATGCATGCTGTAACTCTTCACCCCAGCACGTGGCTGAGGAATGGTGTGGCCAGCTTGAAAAACTGGTCCCTCAAAAAGAAAGCAAAGGCTGCCAAACCGGAGGAAAATAAAATAACTTCTGTGAAAGGACCATTGGAGCCACCTCCACATGCTTCTGGTATTCCAGAAGCCAACTCACTGAAAGAGAGAGAGAGAGACATGACCCTAAGGGCAGCTGAAGGACTTGGAGCCACGCGGACAGCCCAGTGGTATAGTTCTCATCCCTGCCAGGACTCGGAAAAATACTGCAGTTCTTCATTCAGCCTCGTGGAAGGCAAACTCAAGCTTTGTATAAAGTCCCACGAAGGAGGAGAGAACGGTGGCCAGCGCTCTCCTGGTCCACCGCCTTGGGAGAGAGCCTCATCCAGCTCTGTGACTGTGGATGATGCAGCCAGCCCAGATTCAAGGCCTACAGTGGTTTGTGATGATGGAGACAGATGTTTAACCAAAGACATTTAACCACAGTAACAATTTGATGTCTATAAGAACAAGAACTGGGCTATTAATAATGACAATTATTACGACCCCTTTATATGAGATACTTGGGATAGGTAGCATAAGGATAATCATTGCTGATACTTAGGACAACAAAATATTTCTCTTTGTTGAGACTACTTGGAGAAAGATAATGCTAAAAAATTTCATCACCTAAGTGTTTGGGAGGCTGTTCCTTCTTTCAAGTATAGGATTGGCCCTGCCATGTGTTTTCACAGATACTAGCATAGGGCTAAAGAAAGCATTCTCTGTAGAGGAAGCATGCCTTATGTGAAGTGTCTGTGAGATTAGTGTCTTGAGAAGACCAGGATATCATACATGAAGAACAGGGAGCGAGAGAGAGGGTACAGAGAAACCATTCACATTCCATGGAATGTTTAAAATAAGTAGGCAGAAAAAATGCCACTAATCAAAGCATGAAAAGAAGCATGTCTGGTAATGAAGGAAATCATGTACAAGCGTTCCCTGAATCCAAGCCTGTGGCCACATCTGTAGCATCTTAAAGTCACATGTTGTCACAGGATTATCCCAGGAACCAGCTCATTGATGCAACTGTAGTAAACTCAAATATATCAAGAGCCATAGTTGCCATGATATCATAGTTTTTTGTTGTTGGTGGTTGTGTGAGTTGATTTATTTCTCCATTAGTGTTGAACTGCTTTCTAACAGCTTGACGAAATGGCTGTGAGGAGAAGGGAGATGGTTCTTCATATCAGTGCCCTGTCCGAAGATGCCTGTGTTAGGAAAATACTCCAGAAATGCAACTTTTTCTATTTAGGAGGTGACCTGCTGACAGCATTCGCTGTTTAGTGAGGAGGAAAAGACTACAATAGGTCTTTCTCAACTACATGAATGCTGCTATCAACTTGATCAAAGCATGGCACCTATATGCTGAAATGTTTCTCTGCGGCCCTGCCTCTTACAGATTAAAGTCAACCAGAAAAATTACTCATGAGTCATTCTTGACTTTGATATTTGTAGTTTGGCAATCTAGAGAGAAATTTGGAAGTTGGCAGGTTAGAAGGAGTCACAGGATAGAATACCCAACAAAGTGCCTGTTAGGCCTTCTCAGACCATCATTGGATTTGGATTTTCTTACTTCCAGAAGTTTTGCCATATTTTTGTTTCAAGTAATTCGTGGCTGTCTTGTATATAGAGAACTTATACCCCATTGGTTTGTTTTACATCCATGGACCTTTCTCTTCTCTTTTGCCTTAAAAGTTTATATCAATAATTCTACCCAAGGAATAATCGGGCCTTGTCAACCAGTATGAAGGGGCAGCACTGAAAATGGGTGTGTATCTTCCCTCTGATAAGTTGCTCAGAGGCCAGGCCCATTTTATCCATTTAGTCCACCATCAATGGACCATTTTCTAACTTATTCCAAATTATTTTTCTTATCACCAGGAATTTGTGACATCACATATTCTCCTTTTGTCCTAAAGGTTGCATTTTCAGCTACAGGGGAAAAAATGTTTTCTCTAAGAAGGAAGTCATTTTGTAATTAGCTAGAGGTGCTACCTACCTCTTGGGGACACGGCCCTGTTCGCCCTAATCATTATAATTAACTTTTAGAACTCTGTGTCTAAAGAGCTCCTTCATGACCCTAGCCAGCTCAGTCACAGCTGTGAAGTAGATTTCACCTTATTAGCAACCACCCCCATATTAAGATGCCTAGGTGTCCATATACCTTGTCTGTGGAATGATAGAAAAAGTCAGCAGGGACTCCCTTACCCTTAGGGCATACTACTGTCAGAACTGCAAGATGTGAATGAAGCTCTTAGAGCTTGGTGTGTCTTTCTGGAAGAAATGACTTCTCTACTTACCACTGTAATAGTTCTAACCTCTTTTCTTTCTTGTTGACTTGTAGAAAATCACCCAATTTGAAGCATAGAAAAATAGTTGCGGAGGTTGTTTCATGATCATTCCTATTCTCTGTGTTCCCTTAGATGCTCCTATAATACTTAATGTGAATAGTTTGTTAATATTGCTGTAAAATATTATATTGTATGATTTGAAGACAGACTACATGTCATTTTATCATACTCCATCAAGCTATAATATATTAGACTGATGCTTTATCTTAAATGCTTTGAGTTTGTATAATATATCTTGACAAATTTTATTATCATATGTTATGTAATAAATGTGTATTTTTGTACTTGCAGAAACTGCTGCTAACTTTTAAAGTTGTTTGGTTTCCAAGGCACTGATTCTGGATGTGTATGAAGTCCATGCTGTCTGTTAAATAAAATGCCATTCTGCAGAGTTAACAACCCTGCTGGAGCAGTATTGCCCTTTGAAGAATTATTTTAGTTAATGGGCCCAATCTCTGCTTAACACTGGAAATTTCGTAGAGTATAATTAATGTTGAATGGGAACTTTAAGCTTTCGGCCATAAGCCATAGTTAGTCTTTCTAGGAAACCAGTGGTTTGGCCTTTTTTTTCCCCTAATCTCATTAACAGAAAGAAAAAAAAAAAAGACATCAGTCTATGTTCTTACATCAAAAGGATCATTTGCTCAGCTTGATTTATGAGGTTTTCTTGTCAAAGTTTGGACCTTTCTAACCTGAGCACCCTGTTGACCCCAGACAGAGACCAAAACATCAGTGTTTTTCAGCTTATATAAATGTGCTGAATATGACTGGTTTCTCATGATGGCTTCATCTTTGCCTTCTCAAAGTTCTTTGAGAGGAAACCTCTTACAGGTTTACATAACCTCTTAGAGAGGTTTCCTCTGTAAATTTTACTACTGGTTCCAAGTCCAGAAAAATTATTTGCTCTTCTTTATCAGTGAAGACCACAACTCCACTGTCAGAAATGTCACTACTTATATTTGGGAAATGTACACATACACTGATGCAAATTTCTCTCTAAATTTTACAAAATTTTAAATATAATTTTAATAAAGTTCATCTATTGAAAACCTTATATTTAAGAAATTATCTCCTTGATGTTTTCCCACTTTTCATGGCATGACATTGAGTCAAAAGGATCTACTGTGTCCTTGAACTGATGGCATGTTTTTTTCTGTTCAAAGAAAATTCTCAAAATATTACATATCTTGCTGTTAATTCGTTTTCCTGTCAAGTCATATTTTAAAGACTTGAGAGGGTATCTTTACAAACTGCCCATTTCAATGCTAAGGAAATTCATTATCAAGAAACTCTTAGTAAATTTTGTTCCCTGAATAATAAAGTTGGACAAAATGTTTACTTTCTTTAATTCCTATTCGATCATAAGGGTTTCCCGCTGAAAGACTACTCAGGATCTGTGCTGCCCACGCTGTCGGAATCCTGCTGTTTCTGAAACACCTTCATGTTGCATTCAGAGGTTGTTTGATTTTTCAGTTTTTGATTTGTTTTTCCTAACACAGTCAACTCCTTGAGCCTCAGCTCTGTGTAGTATCAGACGTTACAGAACTGGCAGAAGGTTCAGGATGAAATGTGGAAAATTTTGCTTTGAAATCTCAAGATGGTATTAGATGAATATTCTTTATATTCTCGTTGCGTAACACTAGAGCAATTTGCACTTCTAAATAACTCAGTGTTTTTAATATGTTTTATTAAGATTGAGTAAATGTTTTCTGGAATTTGATTATACATGGTGATAGGCAGGTTTCAGAGACGTTAAAATTTAGATGCAAATTTTCATCTAGGTTTGACTTTATATTCAGTAACTTGGAATTAAATTTAGAACTTTTGGGCTAGGGTTGTGGTACAGTGGGTCACGCCATAGCTTAGGACTCTCACATCCCACACCAGAGTTACAGTTCAAGTCCCAGCTACTTGGCTTTCAATCCAGCTCTCTACTAATGTGCTTGGGAAGCAGCAGATGGTGACTCAAGTACTTGAGTCCCTGCCACCCACATAGGAAATTTGGATGGAGTTCCCAGCTCTTGGCACCAACCTGGGCAACCCCAGCTGTTGGCCCTTCGGGGAGTCAATCAGCAGATGAAAGATTTATTTATTTGAGAGACTGACAATATTTTAAAAAATTCTTAGAACCTTTCAGCCTCTTCATTTGCTATGAGGAGTGAATGAATAAGCTAAAACTTGTAATTCCATGACCCTGGGCAGATAAAAGGTGTCAAGAAATACCAATTTTCTACCAGATTGTAGGGCCTCTGAGAGATGCTGCCTAATATTTTCAGGAGAAAAAGGAACTTTCCCCCAAAAATTAGATGACTGAGCACAGAGAAGCTTATTGCTTGATGGCACAGCAATAAGTCAAGAAGAAAGAAAACCTTAGTTAAGCTAATTGGGGCAAGAAGCTGAATCACAAGGAATTCTTAAAAAATTGGCAAAAAAATAGAAAGTGTAACTAGAGAAAAATGGAAGTGTTAAAATGCTACAATAGCATTCAAGCAATTTTATTGCCAGATACATTGCAGACCCTAGTGAAACAAGGTGGAAAAAAACAACTTTGGTTCTCAGGGACTTTAAATGGAGGGATATAGGACTCTGTGGAAAAAAGGGAAATAATCATTTATTGAGCACTTACTGTTGCCTGCATGCATTGGCAATAAATGCATTGCCTCTATTATTTCCTTTAACTTTCACAACAACAGTTGTGTCATGGGTACATTCAACCAGAATCTCATGACTTCAAGATTTTTTTTTTTTTTTTGACAGGCAGAGTTAGAAACAGAGAGAAAGGTCTTCCTTCTGTTGGTTCACCCCCCCCCCCCAAATGGCTGCTACGGCTGGTGCGCTGCACCAATCCGAAGCCAGGAGCCAGGTGCTTCCTTCTGGTCTCCCATGCGGATGCAGGGCCAAAGCACTTGGGCCATCCTCCACTGCCTTCCCAAGCCACAGCAGAGAGCTGGACTGGAAGAGGGGCAACCGGGACTAGAACGCGGCACCCATAGGGGATGCCAGTGCTGCAGGCAGAGGATTAACCAAGTGAGCCACGGCGCCGGCCCCAATAATCCTGAAAGGTACAAGAACAAAAGTTGGTGTACGCTCAATAGTAAAGTGGAGATGACCATATAGCACCAATGAATTTGGGGACATATCAACAGTTTGATCATAATTTGAACAGACAACTTGACTTAAAAAAGTCTTAGCAATCTATGGAATAATAGCAAAGATCCAACATCAGAGTTCTGAAATAGATGGTAAGACTGAAATAGCTTTCAAAGAAGTTATAGCTGAAAACTTCCCAATGTGGTGATATACAAACATACACATTCCAGAATGTAAAGGAAATCTAAACAGGATAAATGCAAACACAAATGTATAGAAAGTAAAGGCAAAAAAATGTTGGAAAAAGCAAAATTACCTCCAGAAGAATATCAATTCAGATGATACAAGATTTATCATTTGAGGCCATCTAGGCCAGAAGGAAGGGGTACATTTTGCAAATGCTGAAAGAAGAAATGTCAACTCAGGATCTCCTATCCATTGAAACTACTGTTGATGAATAATGAGTAAATACCAATAATCTCAGATGAAGGAAAGCTTTAAAGAGTTTGTCATTAGCAGACATACCCATGAAGATGAATTAAAGGAAGTCCTTTCACAGAACTGTAAAGAATCACATGTGCCCACTGAAAGAGAATGAATGGAATGGCAAACATCACACCCAGCAAAGAAACAAGCCTTCACCTGACCCACCTGACTGCTAAACTCCAAGAAACTTCCACCTGACTCACATGACATCTTGCCTTTCCCAGATGACCATCAGAACAAAGCCTGAAAATTCTGCCTAATTTTCAGTTGACTGACTCCTTGTTTTATTTCTAATCACCCTCAGAAGCCAAACTTGTCCTATAAAAGCAGACCCTTGCCTGAGATGCTGTGGCAGGGAATAAATTGCTCAGCAGTTAAGTTTTTTTTTTAAAGTTTAAGGTATGAACCAAGCTTTGAATCAGAGTCCGGCATGAAAGAAATGGAGACATCTTGTGTTCTTCATTAATTTTACATTATTTTTCTTTCAAGTTTAGAATACTTATGAATATCTTTAAAAGATATTATTCACAATATTTCAAGACTAAATATGTTATATATATTAAGGTCAGTTTATCTTTTGATTTTCTTGTATTTAATGAAAGCAAATCTTTAAATGTGAACACATTTAAGAGAATGTCTTGATCTTGTCTATCATCTTAGTCAAAGAATGGTCAGTCTTAAACCCACAGCCACATCATATTTAATGAGGAAAAGTTGGAAGCATTTCCACTAAGATCCAGAACCAGACAAGGATGCTGACTTTCACCACTGCTATTCACTGCAGTTCTTGAGATTCTAGCCAGAGCCATTAGGTAAGAAAAAGAAATCACAGGGATAAAATTGGAAAGGAGGAAGTCAAATTATCCTTGTTTACAGGTAACATGACCCTATACATAGGTGAATGACAAGACCCTACTAAGAGACTATTGGAACTCAGAGTGAGGAAAAGTTGCAGGATATAATCAACACACAAAAATCAATAGTCTGTACAAACAATGCCATGGCTGAGAAAGAATTTGTAAGATAAGTCCCATTCACAATAGCTACCAAGAAATTTAAATGCCATGGAAAAAACTAACCAAGAATGTGAAGGATCTCTACAATGAACATTAAAGAAGGAAATAGAAGAGTACACTGGCTGGCACTGTGGCACATGGATTAAAGCCCTAGCCTGTAGGACCCGCATTCCATATGGGCACTAGTTCAAGTCCTGGTTGCTCCACTTCTGATCCAGCTCCCTGCTAATGTGCCTGGGAAAGCAGTAGAAGATGGCCAAAGTCCTTGGGCCCTTGCACCCATGTGAGGGACCCCGAGAGGCTCCTGGCTTCGAATGCCTCAGCCCCAGCCATTGTAGCCCTCTGGGGACTAAACCAGCAGATGGAAGACCTCTCTATATATAACTCTTTCAAATAAATAAAAAATAATAAATCTTTTTTAAAAAGTAGCAGAAAACATAAAAAATATAGAAGAATCTTCCACGTTGATACTACCAAAAGCAACTTACAGATTCAGTGTGATCCCAATCAAAATATCTACAGACTTCTTAGGTATAGAAAAAAATGATACTAAAATTCATATGGAAACACAAGAGACTCCTAAATAGCTAAAGCAATCTTAACACAAGCAAAGCTGGAGGCATCACAATACCAAATTTCAAGACATATTACAGGGAAGTTTTAATCACGACAGCCTGCTACTGGCATAAAAACAGACATGTAGACCAATGGGACCATATAGAAACCCTAGAAATTAATCTACACATCTACAACCAATTAATCTTTGGCAAACAAGCTAAAATCAATCCCTGAATAAAGGAGTCTTCAACAATGGTACTGGAAAAAATTGGATCTTCATGTGCAGAAGTATGAAACATGACCCCTACTTTACACCTTATTCAAAAGTCAACACAAAATGGCTCAAGGATCATCAGATTACTAGAGAAGAACATTGGGATAGTCAAAGACATTGGCATAGGCAAAGACTGCTTGGAGTAGACCCCAGAAGCATATGCAGTAAAGAGCAAACATAGATAAATGGGTTTACATCAAGCTAAGAAGCAACTGCACAGCAAAGCAAACACTCAACAGAGTGAAGAGGCAACCAACAGAATGCGAGAAAATATCTGCAAACAATTTAAGTGATAAACGATTAATATTCAAGATCTATAAAGACTACAAGAAACTCAACAACAAAACAATTTAAGAAATTATGCAAAGGACATGAACAGGCATTTTTTAAAGGTTGAAATAGAAAAGGCCAACAGACGCATGAAAAAATGCTGAGGATCACTAGCCATCAGGAAAATGCAAATAAAAACCACAATGAGGCTTCACTTCAGCCCAGTTAGAATGGCTATATCCAAAAATCAAAAAACAGGGACCAGCACTGTGGCATAGTGCCTGCAGTGCCGGCATCCCATATGGGTGCCGGTTTGAGACCTGGCTGCTCCACTTACAATCCAGCTCTCTGCTATAGCCTGTTAAAACAGTAGAAGATGGCTCAAGTTCTTGGGCCCCTGTGCCCACTTGGGAGACGCGGAAGAAGCTCCTGGCTTCAAATCAGCACAGCTCCAGCTGTTGTGGCCAATTGGGGAGTGAACCAGCAGATGGAAGACCTGCCCCCACCTCTCCTCTCTCTGTTTAACTCTTTCCAATAAATAAATCTTTAAAAAATCATAAAACAATAATGCTGGCAAGGATGTGGGGGAATAGGTTCCCTAATACACTATTAGATGTCTTCCATCATGGAAGACAGTACAGAGA